ACAGGCCTGCTTGTAAAATGGAAATGGTAAAAGCTGGAGTAATTGAAAGCATACTTGATATTCTCCATGAAGCACCAGATTTTCTCTGTGCTTCATTTGCAGAGTTGCTTAGAATTTTGACTAACAATGCTAGCATTGCCAAGGGACCATCTGCTGCAAAAGTTGTTGAGCCCCTGTTCCTGCTGCTAAGAAGACCAGAATTTGGACCTGATGGACAACATAGTGCGTTACAGGTTCTAGTTAACATTCTGGAGCATCCGCAATGTCGGGCTGACTATAGTCTCACCTCTCACCAAGCTATTGAACCTCTTATCCCTTTGCTAGATTCTCCAGCCCCAGCAGTCCAGCAGTTGGCAGCTGAGCTTCTGTCACATCTTCTCCTGGAAGAACATCTTCAGAAGGATCCATTGACACAGCAAGTAATTGGTCCCTTGATACGAGTTCTTGGTTCCGGCATACACATCTTACAGCAGAGAGCTGTTAAGGCCCTTGTTAGCATTTCACTAACATGGCCAAACGAAATAGCAAAAGAAGGAGGTGTGAATGAGCTATCCAAAGTGATATTGCAGGCTGATCCTTCTCTTCCTCATGTGTTGTGGGAATCTGCTGCTTCTGCATTAGCTAGCATTCTGCAATTTAGTTCTGAATTTTATTTGGAAGTGCCTGTTGCTGTGTTGGTAAGGTTGCTCCGATCTGGCTCAGAAAGCACAGTGGTTGGTGCACTGAATGCCCTTTTGGTGTTAGAAAGTGATGATGGAACTAGTGCTGAAGCAATGGCTGAAAGTGGTGCTATAGAAGCTCTTTTGGAACTTCTCAGAGGTCATCAGTGTGAGGAAACAGCTGCAAGGCTATTGGAAGTATTACTCAACAATGTGAAAATCAGAGAATCAAAAGCTACTAAATCTGCAATTTTGCCCTTATCCCAGTACCTCTTGGATCCACAAACTCAAACACAGCAGGCAAGGCTACTGGCAACTTTGGCTCTTGGAGATTTATTCCAAAATGAGGGCTTGGCTCGAAGCACTGATGCAGTTTCAGCTTGTCGTGCTCTGGTAAATGTGCTTGAAGAGCAGCCTACAGAAGAAATGAAAGTTGTGGCTATATGTGCTTTGCAGAACCTTGTTATGTACAGCAGGTCTAACAAAAGAGCAGTTGCAGAGGCTGGTGGTGTTCAGGTTGTATTGGATCTGATTGGTTCAAGTGATCCAGATACGTCTGTCCAGGCTGCAATGTTTGTTAAACTTCTCTTCTCCAATCACACCATTCAAGAGTATGCTTCCAGTGAAACAGTTAGAGCTATAACTGGTAAGTTCTCTGTATTTGTATGCATAATTTGCCAAGGTTTTGAAAAATTTCTCAATGAAATTGAAAAATTCTAGTTCTTAAAATTTCTATCCAAGCTGCACTTTACCCCAGTTTTTAGAACAGTTTGTGAAATAAACACACGTGTTTCATACATTTGTCATATAGTTACACCATACATGGTCAGCTGGTCAAGTAAAATAGTTAATATGTGCTCATATCAAATAATACAATTCCTTAATATACTACTTGATACATGTCCAGCTGCTGACATAAATGACACGGTACAGATGTAACCATTTTTCTTTGAACTTAAGTTAAAAGGTCAAGTGTAATCAGTTTTGTGTGATTTGGTTTTGACGGTTTGAATCGAGTAATGTAAATTTCAACTGTGGATGCGTCATACTGTGGATACATTTCAATTCTTGTTGTTTTAGTGTCAGTTCTTAAACTTTTACTCTGTAATGAGGAAGCTGTTTTATGATTTTTTTTTTTAATCTAAATTCAGATTTTACTTTATGAAAATAAAAGAAATATTAAGAAATTAGGAGAATTTATATAGAAATCAGTGGTGTGGTTGGGTAATTTATTTAATTAAGTTGCTTATAAGTTCAGATTACAGAAATTCCCAAAATTTAAAGCTGGTGAATCACCCTAAAAAACTATTGCTGTAAGACCAGGTACTTTGAACTAGAGGAGTTGAATTGCAGCTTGTGTGTTATTGAAATATTTCCTTTAGCAAGCAACATTTCCTTTTCATTTGCAAGCAGATGTGTTCTTGTTCTTTTATTTTTGAATAGAGCTATATTCTCTGCATAGCATTGGTAATTTAATCTAAGGTATGTTGTTGAAGTAATTGAAAGATGTAGGAAACAGTGGAAGAGTATTGCTGGGCTGCTTAGGTTAATTGGTGCTCAGAAATTACTTCACCTTTTCAGTTTTGGTTAGGAGAACAATGCTTTAGCATCAATTGTTTCTTGGATGAATTTTCAGTTCAAGGATATTGTTTCTTCCCTTTTTTCAACTGTTGAGAAACTTACTGTTTTGGTATTGCAGCTGCTATTGAAAAAGACTTATGGGCCACTGGAACTGTGAATGAGGAGTATCTCAAAGCTTTAAATGCTCTCTTCAGCAACTTCCCACGCCTGAGAGCTACTGAGCCAGCAACACTCAGTATACCTCATTTGGTTACATCCCTCAAGACAGGCTCAGAAGCAACTCAAGAAGCTGCCTTGGATGCACTTGTCCTTCTCAGGCAAGCTTGGTCAGCATGTCCAGCTGAAGTTTCAAGAGCTCAATCTATTGCTGCTGCAGATGCTATCCCCTTGTTGCAATACTTGATTCAGTCTGGCCCACCTCGATTTCAGGAGAAAGCAGAATTCCTGCTTCAGTGTTTGCCCGGGACATTGGTGGTAATTATCAAACGGGGAAACAACATGAAGCAGTCAGTAGGAAATCCAAGTGTTTATTGCAAACTTACACTCGGCAACACTCCACCAAGACAAACAAAGGTAAGGTGTTTTTTTTTTTTAAGAATAAGAGTTTTGATTTCATTATTTATATAGTTTAGAAAAGTTAAAACTTCATTACTGAAAGCCAAACATAACAAATTCAAGCCTTTTCGTCAATCAGTCAATTCATTAAGCTAGAGAGCTGATGATAGCTTGGTTTTACCAGACTGCAAAATGTATTCACTTGGGAACTTGTTCAACTGTGCCTCTGGTAGTATATACTTCAAAAATGCAACCTAAACTTCTCTTCCCTTTTCTTTCAGTGTAAAGAAGTTTTGCGTGCTGCTATTTATGATTTTCACTCACAACAAAAATTTAAATCTAATTCCACTTTAGTTGCATGCCTATCAAAATGGTTCGAAGAAAATTTAGCTTCAACTGATAATGGATATAGTGGGCATATCATGCTTGTATTTTATTTTCCTGACTTGGGACTGCCTAGGAAAACGCCATTCAATGGAACATATATAGTAGGCAGGTAATTAGCATATAGACCCTGTTGTAGAAGAATTATTGGAGATCTTTATAGTTACCCAACAAGGATTGGTTGTCATTTAAACCACACATTATTCACCATACCTGTTACCGACCAACTCCTTTTTGTGACAGTTGAGAAGGTGGACTTCTAATCCATAGCTCAATGGCAAGCTTTAAGTTTTCAGCATCTTTTAAATGAATACACATGTCATCCATGAATAAATTATTTCTATGTAGTTTTCTATTGAGCCATTTTAAGTCTCATTTTACATCTAATTTGGATAAAAAAAAATGCCAACATCTTTTTATGGTAAAACTCCATAAAGTTACCTTGTTTTTTTGTTCCAACCTTGCATTATTATGCTTCATTCTAGAATTTGCCATTTTTGCTTCTCACTAATGAATTAATACTTGGTCAGGTGGTATCAACTGGACCCAATCCAGACTGGGACGAGAGCTTTGCATGGTCCTTTGAGAGTCCTCCAAAAGGCCAAAAGCTTCACATCTCATGTAAAAACAAGAGCAAAATGGGGAAGGTACCCAATTTTCTTTTCTTTTCTTTTTCTTTTCTTTTCTTTTTTTTTTTTTAATTTTTTAGAAAGAGGAAAGAAGAAAATAGAAATATGTTCTTTAACTTGCACTTTGCGATGTTCATTATTGCTGCTTGACATTATCTCTTTTGATTTGACAACAGAGTTCTTTCGGAAAAGTAACAATCCAGATTGATCGGGTTGTAATGCTGGGAGCAGTTGCTGGAGAATATACTCTGTTGCCAGAAAGCAAAAGTGGACCTTCAAGGAATTTGGAAATAGAATTCCAGTGGTCTAACAAGTAACAACCGTCATTGAAGTATAACAATTATTGAAATTTTAGAGAGAAAATGATATGTTCCAGTATAGATTTTATTTTCAAAATTTTCCATTTCACAATTCATGAGTTATTTAATCATTTTGGTGTAAATAGTTTGCAAAAGATTTTGATTTTTGTAGGTGCTTGCCTTAAGTCATAAAAGTTGTAATTTGTTCAATGTATTCTTTTGTAAGTTGATGTTATAATTTCTGGAACCAAATGGACAGACAGTTCAATCCCTTATTTGTACTTTCTGTGACAAAAATCGTGTGCTTTGTTATAATCCGAGAGAAAAGAAAACTAATGGTACTGGTTCTGATTTAAACATATTTAGCTCAACTTTCTTTGGATAGGTATAACTTCTGTCTTTGGATCTGATGTCGCAAAACAATTATTTAACAATTATTTTTGAATTGTTTGATCGAATCCATCGATTCAGTTCAATTTTCAAACTTATCTCAGTGGTTCAATTTTAACCAAAAAAAAAAAAAGAAAAAGCTAATTTCGGTTTTTAGTTTTTGCGTTCGGCTCGCTCCGAACCTTGTTTACACAGAACTAATGAGATTAATCATATATTAAAAAAAAGTGGAAATATTCGCAAAAAATATTACATTACTAGTTCATCAAATGAATTAATTTCACTTGAGAGCATAATTTAGAAATAAAAATATATCGTTATAAATATAAAAGACTTGTTACACTTCTTAGCAGAATATTTTGTCTGACTGAATTAAATATAGAAATCATTATTTATTCCAAAATTAAAAATTTTATCCAGTATATTTAGCTTTAAAGGGTTAAGTTGTAATTACCATTTTTGGAGGGTGGGCCTGTGAATAGATGTAGAGTGCTCTGTCGAATGATTTTGCTACAAGACAGTGTGAAGTGAAATTGCAAATTATAAACACTTACCAACCACTTGCCGCACTTCTTTGCCGACCCGCAAAAACCCAGACCGGCTCATCTCTCTTACAATCAGAACTACATAGATTTTCTATACAAGCCTCAAAAACCCTATATCTCGATTTCAGTACAACAATACCCTACATTTGGCTATTTTATGCTTTGATTTTGTTGCTGTTCGTTACGCTGCAAATACCACCACAGCCACCGCCCTTGCTCGGTCCACATTTCGAGTCGCAATGGCGGCTCGATCTCGATCTCATTCTCTGCTTATCTTAGTAATGATGGCAAGTGTTCTCGTGGAGGAGACCGTTGAAATTTCATTCTCTTCGAAGCTGATTCACCGATTCTCTGAAGAAGTGAAGTTGCTTAGGGTTTCGAAGAACGAGAAGGTGAGCGAGGTTTGGCCGGAGAAGAAGAGCTTGCAGTATTACCAGAAACTCATGAACAGTGACGTCCAGAGGCAGAAGATGAAGCTTGGACCTCAGTATCATTTTCTCTTCCCTTCTGAAGGAAGCAAAACGATGTCGCTTGGAAATGACTTTGGATGGTACAACTTTAGTCTTTAAATATTCATTTTAGATAATTTCGTAAGGTCTTTTGCGTTTTTGTTTCCTTCAGTTCTGTATATAGTCATACTTTTGGACTGTGTATTGACGCCTAAAATTAACTAATTTGGTGATTAATTGCTTTCTTTTGAATTGAAATAAGATTCACATTCAGTCACAGTAGAGTACTAAAGTTGGCTTGCTGTTTCTTCCTTTCTTGTATTTTTCTCTTAATTTAATTTCTGATTTTGACTTTGGTGTATTGTCACACGTTTTGGTTGCTGATTGATCTCTTTGTCTTTTACAATCTTCTTTTTAAAAATATTCCTTTTGACTCTAAATTTTACGACTATTATTTGGTCAAACCATTATTTATCAACTAAAAATATTTGCAAGTTTTACTTAAGGAAAGCACATGAAACATTAGAAAATGACCAACTTTTCGATGTTGTAATTTATTGGGTTCTTCCAACAACAAACTACTATTTAGGTTAATTTACTAAAAATATCTAATGCAGTGGGAATTGGATTTCAGGATTTATGACCAGAAAAGGCCGAATGTTTCTAAATCACTAGTGAAAACATATTTCTGTGGTACCATACTATATGGGATTTTGATAAGTGATATTATGGAGCACCAGAATATGGAAATTTCTCAATTGTCCTTACCCATAGAATATTTCTCTAATTTTATTGTGCAATTGAAATTCTAAATCCATAGCGAACATAGCAAGGTGCAGTGTAGCTTGCATCTGAATTTGCTGGCTTTTTTTTACTCGTTAACTAATGGTTTTCATCATCTATTTTTTGTGCGGTTAGTGCTTGATCGTATTCTTATTCTAAGAAGTAATTGATTTTTGAAAAAGATAAAAGAGGATAACGAGGGTTGTAGCTACGATTATCCAAGCTAAGTTATGCTGGGTGTTATGGTGTTAGTTTGGTTTAGCTTCAACAAGCTGGAGACCAGAATAGAAGTTTAACGATTTTTAAACAATTTAAATTTATTACAATTTTATATTAAACAATAATTTAAATTCAAACAGACACAACTACAAGTGGTTTCCCACAGGCCACATGGCCTTAGAATTTCAAATGAAAAAGAGGTGGTATCTTCCTCCTTGTGTTACATGGTGTCAATCTGCAGCAATAACACCTTTGTTCTTTCCTCCTTTCTTTTCTTGCTCATATAACTTTATTCCAAAGCAAATAGCGTCTACGTTAGTGATTAGAGATAGCACAAGAACTCTTGAAGTCAAAGTTTTGTTAAATCTATTACTAGGACCAAACTTTGATAGTGTAAAGTTGGTTACTGATCAACTACTGTCAATTTCTCAAAGCTTATCCGAAAAAATTTAGGCAAGTCTAAAGTAAAATTGTTTACAAACATGATTGAGTTGAGTTCCCATGTATTCCCGTTGAGTTTTTTATTTGAAATTTTCAAACTAATTCACTTCTCAAGCAAATATGAACGAGTTCTTATTTTGTTCGCTTGCAAGATATTTACTGGGCGCACTGGTTTACTCAAACTTCCCAAGATATGCAGCCTACTCGCTTATTCAAATGCTCACATTTCAGATATATTTATTTTGTTGAATTGTTCCAAGATGCCTTTGATCATAAAAGAATTGTCAATAATGATTTTCACTATGTTTACTATGTTTTTATATTATTTTTTCTTAGATTTTTTAAAATCATATGTAAGGTAATATTTATCTATCTTGCGGCAGGGCGTATGGGTGCTACTGCTGCCGTATTCACTTTAATTTGTAGCCACTTTCTGATTGTCGATGAGTTCTGTACACAGAATACACTACCCAAGAAACAACCAAATCTTTTGACATAGAAAATGCTTCCTTCCAGTTTGAACACATGGGGGATAGTTTTAGATAATGGAGTCCCTAATTGGAATGCCTAAGAGCTAGCCATATCAACAGGTCATCAGAATGTTCATGTTGCCACTGGCTAATGACTTAACTAGGTAATGAAATAATGGCTCCATTAACTTAACATGAATAAGATTTTTTTTTCCTATGTGGAAATGTTATTTGTTGACTAGATGAAAAAATGATTTAATAACTTAAGTTTAGTTTTCTTGCCATTATTACAAGAGAAAAAGGATGCAACCCACATCAAAAGTGAGCAGAAGGACTAGAGGTTTGATTTGACCTAAAGTTCCTGGAAGCATGGACTTAAAAACTAATGAACTTCTACATTCAGCTTTATTTATTAATTTTTCTCTACTTTAGTAATTTGGATTATTTGACCTTAGAATGAAAGCATTCTCGTGATTTTGTGAATTTAATTAATAAATTTCCAATCTATTATCATCATATAATGTCTGTTTGTTCTCTTAGCCTTTGATTTCTCCATTTTTCCAATTTTCAGGTTGCACTACACTTGGATTGATATGGGGACACCTCATGTTTCATTTCTTGTTGCACTGGATGCTGGGAGTGATCTACTTTGGGTGCCTTGTGATTGCATGCAATGTGCCCCCTTATCTGCAAGCTACTACAACAGTCTGGTAGGTCAGCCTTTTCCATATGATAATATGTTGTTTCTCATAGCAGTGCTTTGTCTCTATTATTTGTTGACTGTAAGCTTATCATGGTGCAAATAGTTGTGCTTTTGTGATTATATCTTAGATCATAATCTCGTCATGGACAAGCCTTCATCTCTTCCAGGTTGTCCATGGAGTCACTCAATTCTCAAAAAGGACTCCCCCTTCATTTCTGTCCATGTCCTTCAATTACTTTTATTATCATGTTTAATGAAGAGAGAGGGGGGGGGGGGGGGGGGGGGGAAGAGATTAGTGGGATTGACTATAGAAGCCTCCTATAGTAGAGTCAATAGAGGCTGGATAATGGTGCCTGGTATGTTTGCTGCTTTCATCATGAGCATGTCGGTGGATCTGCACTAGGGAAAGTTGATGTAGTGGCAATTGGGGGGGGGGGGGGGGGTGTGGGGGGAAGAGATTAGTGGGATTGACTATAGAAGCTCCTTAGTAGAGTCAATGAGGCTGGATAATGGTGCCTGGATGTTTTGCTGCTTTCATCAGAGCATCGTGGTGGATTGCCACTAGGAAAGTGATGTAGTGGCAATTCATTTTACAATTGAGGATGGGCAAGGTATGTCTTGAAGCCATTGGTGTTTAGATGATATATGAATGGTAAAGGAGAACTTTAGCAGCTGAACATGTAATTTATCTTTTATAAACTAAGGTTGATGGTGCTATACTGATATGCGTGCTTTTTAACTTCAGTGGCTTACCATGATTAGGCAGTGACTTTCAGCCTTCTAGTAGCTTGGTTACCATAATTAACTAAATACCACCCAAAAGTCACTTCAAAGAACAAGCTCTCAAAAGTTTGGAAAACATGTGCTTTAAGACTGCTTGTATTCTGATGTTTAATTGTTTGTGCAACACCTTGAGAAAGCTGCCATCATTCATAGCCATAGTTTAGAAGTGTCTTTCGCAGCAAATGGCTTCCTGATAATTATCTTTTCATCTGTCCAAGACTGTTACTGTGACTGACTGATCTTTGCTAAAGTTTCATCTTTGTATCATTGTGGCAAAACCTTTTTAACCATATGTGTAGTGCAAATATAGATTAGTTTATTGTGAGGTCTAATGTACAATGCCTGAATTTATCCAGATGATGTTGCTTTTTCTGCTAAATATGGAAACAGGTTTAGCACTTATTTCCAATAATTGATTGGCAGGTGCTCCCTCATATTTGGGGCATCTATTATGCAGGACAGAGATCTGAATGAATATAGTCCATCTCGTTCTAGTACCAGCAAGCATCTATCTTGCAGCCATAGGCTATGTGAATTGGGTCCAAACTGCAAAAGCCCGAAGCAGCAATGCCCTTATGCTATTGATTATTACACAGAAAACACATCAAGTTCTGGATTGCTGGTTGAGGACATATTACATTTTGCATCAGATGGTGATGATGCTTTAAATACTTCTGTTCAGGCTCCAGTGGTCATAGGGTGTGTTCTATTCATCATTCCATGTTTGATTTCTTTAACTTATATTTGCTAGGCACCTATCTTTACTAAGCTTATTAATCTTCAATTATTAGTTAATTTTGTTTTCTTTCTTTCTCATTTGTTCATTTACCTAATTATTTTATTGTTTTATTTTCTTAAACATAGGTGTGGCATGAAACAAAGTGGTGGTTACTTGGATGGAGTTGCACCTGACGGTCTGATGGGTTTAGGAGTGGCCGAAATTTCCGTTCCAAGTATTCTCGCCAAAGCTGGATTGATCCGAAACTCTTTTTCAATGTGCTTTGATGAGGATGATTCTGGGAGAATATTTTTTGGTGATCAGGGCCCAAGTACCCAGCAATCTACTCCTTTTCTGACTTTAAATGGGAATTAGTATGTGCATCTGTATATGGTTTGCATATATTTTTCTGCTTATTTTTGCTTCTGCATCTCCTACCCAAACCTCCTCCTGTTTTTCTTTTTCTTTTTTTTTTTCTTTTTCTCAATGGATGTTAAATCCCCGATGTTTAAAATTGTAAACTTGTGATTTTATCCAGTACAACATATATTGTTGGAGTGGATGCTTTTTGCGTTGGCAGTTCTTGTCTTAAGCAGACAAGCTTCAGAGCACTAGTTGATACTGGCACATCATTCACATTTCTTCCTGTTGATATTTATGAAAGAATTACTAAGGAGGTAGTTATCTAACATTCAAATCCATCATATGAAGTAACTAACAAACTTCCTAATATGATTCCTGTTTTGCTGTGCTTAATAGTTTGACCGACAAGTGAATGCTACGATCTCTAGTTTTGAAGGTTATCCTTGGAAGTATTGCTATAAATCCAGGTGAATTTGCATGAGATATAGCTTTAATACCTTTTACATTTGTGTGTGATTCCATACATTTGCAAGCATGCATGAGATCTGTTGCTAATACTTGAATGGGTTTTCTAAACAGCTCAAACATGCCCAAGGTTCCATCTCTGCAGCTCACTTTCCCACTAAACAACAGCTTTGTGATCCATAATCCTGTTTTTATGATTTATGACATGCAGGTTTGTTCAAACTTTGGATGAGCCAAATGCAAAGTAGTGGCATTAGGAAAACTCTGGGCAATTTTGGAAGTAGTTTTTAAAAAATATATATATGAGATAATCGAGTAACGATATTATTGCATCACTAATTTGAGCTATCCTTATAATGAGATTAGAATGACTTGGTGGTTTTCATTTATGTTATGATATGGGTCTTTGTTTGCTCCCATGCCATGGTGCAGAGGGCTCAGCAGACTAGATTGTATATTTTGTGTTAGTTTGGGCGTTGATGAACATTTGCTTTCGATGCTGATTAATATTAGACATCATATATATTTTCTAAAGTTTTTGTAATCTGCTTTTATTATGTTTGCATTGTTCAGTCTCCAAACCATTGAAATGTAAATGTGGTGAATTTGGTGGTTTAGGGAATTAGTGGATTTTGTTTAGCTGTTCAGCCAACTGATGAAGATATTGGAACCCTTGGACGTAAGTGTGCCACTGCCATGCTTTCTGTAGGAAAAGTTAATTTCATTAGTTCTTCTGTGATCTCTCTGTCTCTCTTTCTCGCCTTTATAATTCTTCTTAATGTTTAAAAATGAAAAATATTGTGCAGAGAATTTCATGATGGGATATCGAGTGGTATTTGATAGGGAAAATTTGAAGTTGGGCTGGTCACGCTCTAGTTGTGAGTTTTCTGGCCTTTGCTATGTTTCTACTAATGCTCTTGTTGCACATGAAATTAACTAGTCCAATTTATTTGGGCAGATCCAACAGTTCTGTCATAATCATAGACTAAAAAGCTCAGTTTCTTTGACTTTACCAATTCGTGGCTTCTGCATATGCAGGTGAATTTCGAGATGATGGTAAGAGGATGCCTCTTACACCTCTCAACCCATTACCGACGAATGAGCAGCAGAGTGCTCCAGGAGGACATGCAGTTTCACCTGCCGTTGCCGGAAGAGCTCCATCTAAACCATCAGCTGCCTCGACCCAGCTAATATCATCCCGGTTTTGTTTGTTGAAGTTGTTAATGATGATGCTTCTGCTGCACACGCTCATTCACGTTTTGTGAGTAAATTCTGGCTGTCTTCCACGAGTAAGTTCTATTCTTTATAGAGTCCTCTACACGTAAATTAAGTTTGTCCTCTCCATTTTTAGTTTCACCCTTGCCCGTTGCCGGAAGAGCTCCATCTAACCATCAAGCTGCCTCGGACCCAGCGAAATCATCCCGGTTTTGGTTTGTTTGAAAGTTGTTATTGATGATGCTTCTGCCCTTGCACACGCTCATTCACGTTTTGTGAGTAATTCTGGCTGGTCTTCCACGAGTAGTTCTATTTTTATTTAGATCCTTCTACACGATAAATTAAGTTTGTCCTCTCCATTATTTTTTTTTTTTTTATTTGTCATAATATATATATATATATATATTATATATTATTATATATGTATACAAAGTATTTGTAGACCTGCCATCCAATGCCCGTCAGTTTTTTCCCCTGTCACATATATGTATACAAAGTATTTGTAGACCTGCATCCAATGCCGTCAGTTTTTTCCCCTGTCCACTGGCAGTTGGTTGATTGGGACTTGTTGTAGGGCAATACTGTATTCCTGTCAGTTAATATTATTTTCTGGATTATGTATCAATCGATGCTTTTCAGAGCTTTACTTGAAATTGTTATTCATTGTTGATTATATGATTCAGAAATTTTACATTTTCTACTGTTTTGAGTTACGAATTTTTAGTTACATTGTCATTTTAGTTTAGTAATTCTACTATTTTTCACTAAATTTGCCGTTCGCACTGAGATCACAATCAGTTTATTTGTTTTGAGAAGCATAAGATAACAAATATACACTTGCAGATCTTCCTTACAGAAGTTATAGGAATGCCCATACCATATGCTATGAATCATGAATGAAATTATTTCTGTTTTGTTTTTTTTTTTTTTTTCCTAATGATATTCATATCTAGGTCGTATGATAAATATCTCTGACTACATATAGAATTTGAATTTCTGGGATGTTGATAAGTTAATAATTAATGTAGGATTGAATTGATGGATCCATCAAACTATTTGTTTTTGCGTTTTAGAATTTTGATTTTGAAAGCTAATTTGCGATTGAATTCCAAAGATAAAACTCCATCACTCACCATTAGGTGTATATAATATAAATTGTTAATCCTAACAGGAATTGCAACAACTCCCTGTCTTTCCTTTCTTTGTTCTTGCTCTCTGTCTCTGTTTTTTATTATTAAGTTATTCCCATGATGATTCCCTTTTATTTATTTATTTATTTGTTTTTTATTATTGCATGTTAAATGCCAATTAGGAGAGAGATTGGTTTTATTCAATTTAGCTCTGGAATTCTGAAATTAAAATTTTGAAATAAGACATAATTGTAAAACGCGAAATGTATGTTTAAATTCTCAGCTTTTTCAGAATAGGGTGGGTTGAGCTAAAAGTTGGATGAATCTTTTTATCTTTTCCCCACTCAAGGCTATTGCAAATTACACTTACATCATATTATTCAAATTAAATACAAATAATTAATATAAAAAATTCAAAAGGAAACAGCACAATGTATAATTTATTTATTGTTAATACAAAGCACGTGGGCATGCTGCTGTGTCGTATTGCTTTCCGCCGCGACCAAATCTATGGAATCGAATCGAAGCCTCTTGGGTTTTAAAATTTTCCTTTGGAGAAAAGAAGCTTTTCATCACTTTTTAGTTTAGTGTACAATTAGGAACCTTTTGGACTTGCATTATATCATTAACGTTAAGAAGCTTTTGGATTCTATACACCAATTATTAACTTCTACAAACCAACAATAATAGAGTAAAGGCTCGTGAGTGTTGACAGCACTTACCTTCTTTTTCCAAAAGTCTTGTCTCTTTTTTTAAAAAAAATTAATAAATACAAGGATGGGACGAAAAGCATTGATCTCTTTAAATTGTACGTCCATAATATCATGTAGTTGTAACAATAAAATATCTTTAAATCGTATGAATCAATGAAATTTGAGTGCTGCAATTTAATCGCTTTATGGATTTGTTAAATTTCTTCATTTGATTGAGAAAATATCTCTTGAAATTAATAAATTTTATAACTGTCTCAATTCCCCTATTTTAATTAAAGAGAGAAATCCCGCGTCAAAAATAAAATTTCCTTAATTTTATAATTTTTTATTAATAATTTTATTTAAAATACTTAATTTTATTCTAAAAATATCTTTAAATCTGTGGATTTCATTTTTCAACCAAACAATGAACGCAAAATTCCGTTAATTTCACATCCCATCAATTTAAACAACCATTAAAAGAGGTTATTTCTAGTATTTAAATTTTATTTTTAATATTTTATACATAAGACTCATTGAGCTATTGATCCAAATTAAATTTTAATGCATGATATCTTTTTAAATAAATTGAATTGGAAGATCCACGCGAATGATATATTTTAATTTATAATTAACTTTCTAAAAGAAGAAAACTCCGCCAGTTCAGACCTGATACGTCTTCATTCATTATCGAATGCTTTAGTGATTTCTAATAAAAATTTTCATTAGGCTCTAAATCGATGGCAATTTCTAATATTAAACTGAAGAGTTATCTAGTCCTTCATTTATGCTATTTAGTATTTACTAAGACTAGACTATTTTATTATCCTTCATTTTACAAATCTTTTTGAAGCTGAAAAGCAATTATATTAAATTTCTCCTCAAAATACTGACTATCCGACTCGATCTTGCGATTAAATAAGGGATCTATTAGTACCATTTACTAAATCAAAACTTTTTTAGGTAGTAATCCGATCTTTCTTATTCATACAAAAAAAAGGAGGTTGAAATTAGAGATGACAATTTACCTGTCCCATTAGATATTCGATCCTATCTAACCCAATTTTGGTAGGTTCGGATAGTAAATGAACGGATTTGAATGGTACTTTTACTGGTATCGAATTCAGATTGAATGTAAATTCAAGCACTCGGATACCTACTATTTATTACTCTTACGTAAAATTCTAAAAATTGGAAATAATTATTTTCCTGAAATATATATTTCTACCTTTCTAATTATAATTATAGTTAATATTATATGATATTTTTTAATAAGTTAAAATAAAATTTTATAATTTTCACTTATATTTTATTTTCAAAAATACAATAACAACAAATAATCAAACTTTATCTTAAATTTGTTGGAGTTGGCTATATGAATTATTTTTTTAAAATATTCCCTCTGATCAAATTAATATCAATGCAAAAGAAAGTATTCTGGATCGACCTTTTCTTTTTTTTTTTTTTTTCACCCTTTTTTTTTAAAATATTCCCTCTGATCAACAATTAATATTCAATGCAACAGAAAGTAATTCTGAGATCGACCTTTTTTTTTTTTTTTTTTTTTTTTTCCACCTCACTGTGAAAAAATCTACAATTAATACATGACCATTAAAATTTCTCAAACATCCCCACTTATTTTATCTCTAATTTTTTTTTTTTTTTTTTTTCACCCTCCACTGTGAAAATCTACATAATACATGACCATAAAATTTCAAACATCCACTTATTTTATCTCTAACTTCCGCTGCTTATATCTTTTGCCAAGTATGATCATTTATAATCTTGTCTAACTTAATGCGATTATACATCCGTCTCAGCATTTAAATCTTCGTACTATTCATCCTGTGAACATGCACGTTTAGGTGTTCACTATTCACTCTTATATAGCATTATTGATCTCACCACCATCCTATAAAATTTTTAAACGGATTTAGATTCGAATATTGTATTTTAAGCAAGTATATGATCCAAGACCCACTGACTACCCTAGTTGAAACTCCTATAATGAGAAAAGATGGATAACAAAATGTGAAGTTTTAATATATATGACTATTAAAAATATCAAAAACTAATAATAATTAATATGTGAGGAATGATTGTATCCAGATCAGAAGAAGGTCCTAATCCTACACATATATGTAAAAACATTTTCAAATCCTTCCATTATCCAACCACTGCATATATAAAATGAAAGTTGCATAAAGTATGTGCAGTGGGTAGCCCAAGACAAGGACATTGACACTGCCACCTATTTCTTTTCTATATATAGTGCTAGATGTTATATGAAAACGACTTATTTAAAATTACATTGAGATCATTACAATAATTGTTCATGTATCTCAATATAATTTTTAATTTTAATGATAAAAATTCAGACTCATATAATGTTAAATTTAGGAATAAAGGTCAATACAGTACTTGAACTTGATTAAAGGGATTAAGAATGTCAGATTTGACCTTTTTGATCCCACAAAATAAGTTGAGAGACCAAATTAATTCTTTAAATTTATTACAGTAAAAATAATTAGCTTTAATTGAATTTATTGTTATTGCTTTCAATTGAGTTGAATCCTCTTCTAATGAGTTAGAAAGTCAGATATATTAAAAGCAATCTTATTTTAAAAAATTACTGTAATGTAAATAAAAAAATTAGGAAATCGACGAATTGATCCATTTCGATCGAATTCGATTGCTATAGTTAACTTTTTTTTATTATTTTTAGTTCGCTTACTATATTTAACTATTTTTATATCCAAAATAACTTGTTTAATTCGGAAAAATAGAATGCATTTAGTTATACGCCCAAAGAAACTTGTTTAATTCAAAATAATAAAATACATTTGGTTAAAAAATCGAGCTTATTCAATTTGGTTTGGCACAATTAATTACATAATTAAGTATGCTTACAGAAAATCAATGGTTGCATGATATTAATTGAGTTGTAAATATTTTTCTATATTCAAATAGAAATTCCATAAAAATAGTTTTGTTAGCGCATAAAAGAGTAATTAATACCATAGTAAAAATAATTTTTGAATAATAGTTAAATGAAAATTATATAGAACATTTTTTCTGAAAAAATATATTTATTTATTATTAAATCTTTGCAGATAAAAATCACACAAAAATATAATTTACTTTTACTTATTTAACTGTACATTATGTTGATTAATTAATCAAAATTTTTATAAGAAATTATAATTAAGAAACATTCCATATGATTGATTATGTATGAAATCTAAACCACAAAACTCCAAAACAATTCTTGCTGTTGGGAAACAACAAGTTAGATTAGATGCTTATTATATTATTAATATTATAGGAATAGGCAGCATTTTGGTGTTCTTCTTTTGAACTTTCAATACACAGAGCACCGCAAGGAAGCTTCAAATTTGAAATTTTTAACGTTAAATTTGATTTATATGCAGCTAAACTAATTACCGTTACGACAGCTGGCCAAAAGCAGTCGGTGGCTTTGCAACTTTCAATCGTCAAAAGGTTCCAATTTACGCTCCATTACTCCAGTTAAAGAGCCTAAGCCATTAGTCCAAAAGCAACGTGAGAGATCAGGTAAAAAAACTTTTTTGATTAATTTAACTTTAATTTTACATACCTGTAAATTATTAATGTTTACAATTCTATATAAAAAATTCAAATAATTATTAATTATTTTATGATCTGATATGGTAAAAATTTAACGGTAAATTGAGTATTTGAGAAGTTTAATTAATTCTTTAAAAAAACAAAGTGTTAAATTAGTTATTAATAGTATTGAAAATAATAATACAAGAACCAATATAAACAAAATAAATCTTCATGGCTAAATTGTTAAAATTAGAATTATAGATTCAAACTCGTCTAATAAGTAAGTTTGAATTTGAACTTACAAAGGAGCAAAACTTTTTAAACTATACTTATAAAATAAATTGAGCTCACAATTGAGTTCGAATATATCTTTTATGGAGCTAAACTCGATCTTGATAGAACTTGAGAGTTAAATAAGTCATCAAATATTATTGTAAACGATAGTTTAAGAATCAATGTAAACAAAATGATTTTTGAGGGTTGAATAGCTAAAAATATGTACCTAATCCTGAATGTAATTGAAAATAATGATTAGGAGTTCATGTAAATAAAAAAAGATTGAGGGGCACGATAGCTAAAATTTATATAATTCAGGGGTTTTCGTCACGCGCCTTCTGACGAATCAAATCCAACCAATTCCCAAAACAACTCATAAGGATACAACCAACCAACAAATAGACAGCCCTACCTTTAGAGGAAGCCAGCTCCTCTTACCATCGCCGCCATTAATTACTGCCACGCGTCAACTTTAAACCCTCCGATTTTGCCCTTTTGTGAACCGTGTGCTGTGATCATCGTTGAAAGTTAAAACGTGGCAGTTGCTTTGCCTTATTATGTGATTGTTCAATTTATTATTCTTCATGCATGATTAATATAGAAAGCATAGTCAAACTTCTTTTAAGAAAGCATTACTGGTGCATTTAATTTAAAAATATAATGGATTTTCTAGAGCTTGATTCTCATAACATGTCAACGGCACGTTTTAAGAGTTTTTTTTTTTTTTCTCTTTATAGTTAGTTTTTTTTAGCATCTTCAAAAATTTGAAAGAACAAAGTAGCGCGTATTTTAGTTCATGTACATTTTTCACATTTTGTCACGGTGATATTCAAATGAATTCAAATCTCTAACTTTATGAAGGTAATGTTCAAGTAAAGCTTTTTAAATTTGTAACTTCTAACATTATAGGTAAAATTCGATTAAAAATGCAGTGTATCTTTAAAAGTATGTAAACAAATAAATAAATTATTAAAATTTCTTTTTATAGCATTTTATTCTCTCTGTCGATAGATATAAGTTGTTTTAAAAATATTAAGAAATAATTAATGAACTCTTTTCAATGTTACCTTATACTCACTCCGTTTTTTTTTTATATAAGAAAAGTTTATATTTTTTGTGTTCTTTTTATATAGAAAATTTTGCCTAATTTAGTAACTTTGAGACCCATGTCAATGCAAAAAGTCTACGTTACTCTTATTTTAGTCCTTTATGAAACTTTTAATATGAAAAAAATTTTGGAGAATTGATTTTTTATATTAATTTTTATTGAAAAATAAAACTGCTCATATAGGTGATTTGATTACCGATCAAAATGGAGTTTGTATAGAAAACGGCCACAAAATTTTTAGATTGACTATAATGAAAGGAATCTTTACGGATTTCGCTCGAATATTTGAAAAACTATGGGATATTTAAATTACAATTTCAATAATCAAAGACAATTGAATGGTTAAATGAGCACAAATTAAAAATTTTCACACAACTTTCCTGAATAAAGGACCAAAAAATGAATTTTTTCTCTACAGGTCAAAGCATAAACTTTATTTTTTGTAACTATCTTTATTCTTTTCATTCCAACAAAGCATTTAAAGTATCATTGGCGATTGAAACATATTTTGAGGCATATTTGATATTAGAGGGGGGAATGAATGAGATATTAGGGGTAAATTATGAAAAAAATGACAAAAAAAATTAATTAAACTACTTTCTTAATCTTGGTGAAAAATTAGTTATCGAAGGAAGTATATATTAAACACTTTGATTATCAACAATATGAGATGTGGTCAAATTAATGAACTTTTTGTTATATTACTATTTAAGAATTAATTACTTTCTTCATCATTGATAAAAAATCTTATTACCTTTGTTCTGTAATATTTGTCACATTTTAAAAAATAGTTTGTTCCAAAACACTTGTCATATTTGTGGTTTCAATGAGTAATAAATATTTTTTTCCATATTTATCTTTTATATATGATCAATAATTATTATTTAAATTTCATGATTTTTAAAGAATTAGTATTAAATTAAGAGTACCATAATGAACTTTTTGTTTATATTACTATTTACAGAATTAGCATTTACTTTTATTCATCATGTTGATAAAAATCTTTAATAAGCCATTTGTCTGCTGTAATATTTGTCACATTTCCTCAAAAAAAATAGTCTTGGTTCCAAAACACTTGTCATACTTTGTGGTTTACCTGAGCTAATAAAATATTTTTTTCACATATAATTTATCATTTTATATATGATCATAATATATTATTTAAAATTTCAATTAGATTTTTAAAGAATTAGTATATTTAAATTAAGAAGTAATATTAGTCAATTGAATCAATAATTTAAATAATTTAATTAATTATATTTAAGAAAAATATTAAAATCTAATATCACAAATAATTATGTTCGGAGAGTTAGTTCAAATTGCATATTTATCTTTTATATATGATCAATAATTATTATTTAAATTTCATGATTTTTAAAGAATTAGTATTAAATTAAGAGTAATATAGTCAATTGAATCAATAATTTAATATAATTTAATAATTTTTTAAAAAATATTAAAATCTAAATATCACAAATATTATGTTCGGGAGTTAGTAAATGATTTTATATTTATGTATGAAATGAGTATTTAGTATGTCACAACTCACTAACAACATTTCCCCGCGCGTGGCTGCAGACTTGTTATCTGTTTACAGTAGTGACACGTGGCAATAATTAGTGATCACAGCTTTCAATGATTTGCTAAACTTTAACGGCTAAGGGGTAAATTTGTCCTTAGCAATAATAAAAGGGTAAAATTGTTTAAGGAAGCCAAAATGGAACGGTGAATTTGATTTCCATTTTAGTGTTTATATATATCATATAATGTGTATTAAACATTTCAAGTAATTGTATGGTTTTTGAATGTAATTTAATTTTTATTCCTATTTTTTTATTTAAAACTTTTAGGAGTATATTGGTCATTTTGAATATCTATTGAAATTATATTTTCTTCTAAGTAAATTTAAAAGATTATTTTCTATGCTTAATATTTACATTCAAATTTACTTTTAAAAATGAAATTATGATAAATAATTTATGAAACAAAATTTATGCTTAGATAATATATTAAATAAAAATTTTATTATTCTTAAAAGTGGTTCAAATAGTAAGATACGTTTGAATTCAGTTGATATATTTTTTTTAAAAAAAAATTAATTTGTGAAAAAAACACTTATCGAGAAAGATAATTATAAACTCCAACGAAATTGATCTCATTCAAAAGAAATGTGCAGGTGGCTGTAGAAAATGAAAGAAAAAAGCTTTATCATTCATAGAAATGTCCAAAGAAAAAAGCTTTATATAAATAAAAAAAAGAAGCATATAAGACATCCCATCTATGCCTGGCAGAATCTACAGTTCTTCATTTCAAATTTAAAAAAGAAAGTGCACCAATAATTCATCAAATTTCTGTACATGAATTAGTCAACTGCTTTAAAAAAAAAAAAAAACTCTCTTCCATAATCATAATATTTTACTATTTTACTCTTATTTAATGTATTTATTTGTAGTAAATATAATAGTTAAATTATTACATTATCATTAATTAAATTTTGATATAAAATATTTGATTAATTTCAAGAACAATTTAATATGACTCATTTAATTTTAACGGAATATTCACATAATAATATGTTAGAAAAAAATAAAATAAAAATTGTAATTTAAATTATATTACTTAAATTTTCTTAATATGTACGTAAGTGAAATCATCACAAAAATTATGGAGTATATAATGGAAAATGTAAAGCACAAGACATGGGCAATTTATGTATATACTTAAGAATGCAGGGGCATAACAGCAAAAAACCTCCGTTAACATTTTCTTACTTGAACCCTTAAGCACAAAGATTTTAGTATTAAGAAACATAAAAATATCCCAATATTGGGGGAAATGTCATTAAGCAAGCAGAGACCGACAAAAACATCATGTCTTCTTAAAAGCTTTTATTTAAGGGGCCCACAACCTTTTTCCTTTTTTAAATCAGATAAAAAAATGTCTATATAAGAAGCAAACATATGTAAAAGAAGCACATCAAAGCAAGAAAAGAAGAAGAAGAGCAGCCTTATAAAAAAACTTGAAAAAAACAAAAAAAAAAACAAAAAATCTTTTCTTTCTCTTTGTTGGTTTGAAGGCAAGAAAAGAATCAATTGCTGTTTGAAGGGAAGTTCCTTAGTAGCTTCTTGTTTGGTTCTTTTCTAGATGCTATAAAATCACCTTCTAAAAATTTCTTTGCTTGAAACTTGCTGATTGCGTGCTTCTTTTGAGAATTTTCTTTTAGAACCATTTTTTGTTTTGTGATATCATAATAGTTGGTTTTCAAAAATGGGGTATTTGTCTGATTTAATGGGAAGTGGTGGCTATAAACACAAGAAGAAGAAACAATTACAGACTGTAGAGCTTAAGGTCAGAATGGACTGTGATGGCTGTGAGCTTAAGGTTAAGAATGCCCTTTCTTCATTAAGTGGTAAGTTAATGTTCTATGCCTCTTCTGTTTGTTTTTGTTTGATCATCTCTCTTTCTTTTTCTGAAATTGGTTTTTGAAATTATTGTAGGAGTTAAAAAAGTGGAGATAAACAGAAAACAGCAGAAGGTGACAGTAACAGGTTATGTTGATTCAAACAAAGTATTGAAGAAGGCCAAGTCAACAGGAAAGAAGGCTGAGATTTGGCCTTATGTACCTTACAATTTAGTGGCTCAGCCTTACATTGCTCAAGCTTATGACAAGAAAGCACCTCCTGGTTATGTCAGGAAGGTAGAAAGCTCTGTAGCTAGTGGCACTATTACCAGATATGAAGACCCTTATACCTCCATGTTTAGTGATGACAACCCAAATGCTTGTTCTATAATGTAATATACCCAAGGAGACAATAGTACCCCTTTTGTATCCCATCTACCTGCTTACCCTTCTTTGTACTCTACCAGGGCACTACTGTAAAATTCCTATTTAGGTTTTTTGTTTACATTTTCTTTTGTAATTTTCTTATCATATATATATGAGGTGATGAGGTGTGAGTTGTGACTGCAACTTTTGAGTAGAAAACGGTGAATAAGTTCATTGATATTTTCTTGCTTAGCTCTCCTGACCTATTTTATTTTGTTTAGTTTTGTCTTTTTTACCAAATCAGTTCATTAATATTTACTTTCATCAACTTCTATTTTAATTTTATCAATTAATACTTTATATTTATATCATTTTTTTTCTCTGAGAAGTATATTTCTATCATTTATGAGGACCATACTATTGATATATCATGATCCAATAACATAAATATACTCATCAACTTATTTATTGTCATGATACTCTAAATTTTACATATCACGTATCATATATTTAAATTTGTAAATTTTGATAACATTAAATATTTTTCATACTAATAATAATAATTTTACGATTTTTAGCTTTTATATATAAGATATTGATTTAATTCGGGCTTAATACATAAATTTACCTTTGTATTTTTATTAAAAAACTTGGTGGCATCTTTAACTTTTATTTTAATCCATTAAATAATTTAACTTATAAAATTAAACATGTTAAATACTTTATTTGACATATTAAACATCTCTATTTAATTGATTAAACATTTAATGGATAAATAAAAAATGTAAAAAATTATTTTTTTTAAAAGTTGTAATAACCACGTAATAAATTAATATTTTGCATATAAAAACTGAAAATCTTAAAAATTTTATTGTAAGGAGGTGTTAGATTATAATAAAAAGTGAAGTTCCGGGTGCTATAAGGTTGATTTTGGAGTTCGTGGTGCCACAAGGTTCTCTTGTTAAATTTTAGGAGTTTAATTATGTATTGGGCTATTTGATACATGGTTAGTATAACTTTTTAAATAATAATTTCACTTTTTTTCAATTATTTAATGAGTCTTTAATAGACTAATTTTATATGTTGAAGTGCTTAATAAAATGATTTCAAATTGAAATGTTTAATACGAGTAATTTTATAAATTGAAGTGTTTGATGAGTCAAAATAAAAAATTAAATATGCCATAAAATTACAGTAATAAAGTTGAGAAGTAAATTTACATGTCCAACCATTTAACAGATGTCTTGTTATGTGAAATAAAATATAAAATATCAATTAATAAAATAAAAAACGATTAGCCAAAATCGTTAAATTTTCTTTTTTTTATTCCACATTGTTTTTTATCCATTTGAGTCTCTTTAAATTGTCCCAATCAGTAATTTTGTGGGGGAGTGGTTGCAGTGGTCCTGATACTTTTGAACAGGTTTAGGAATTTGATAGGGAAATTTAAAACCTGTTGGTTGTTATGATGCAACTACATATAGCAGCTCAGTTTGTTTCATTGTCTTTGTTGTGTCACTTTTTTCTCTTCTGTAGCTGGGTTTGGCTTGGTAACAGCTGTATCCCCATATATATATATATATATAATAGCAATATGCTACAAGTTTAGGTGATAAGAGCTATGTCCCTATTTCTAATGAGGTGGCTATTCATGGGTAGATATAAAATTGATGGCAATGTGAAACTAACAGACATGAAACTATGGGTGGGAATTTGTATTAGAGATAGTTTTTGGCTAAATGCATAGATTTGCGCTTGAAGTTTATGGGTCTCGTGACACTTTCAAGTTTTCGCGTGATTTATTATGACCTATATTTTTATTACAGTGATAACTATATTTCTGGTCAAAGTGAAATAACTTTGCAAAAGTTCAATCATTATTCTGTGCTTTCAAATTTTATTTTGACAAGGGACATAATTATTACTAAAATGTGAAAGTGTAAGTTATAATAGATCTCTGCAAATTTGAAGATGCCACCTTCCGCAAATTTATGAATTACCGACAGTTTTTTTATGTAACTCAATTCAATTATTAAAAAAGTAATAAAGATGTAACATAATACCATGTTTAATATTTAAAAAGTTCATTCATGTAAGAGAAAAATGTGGAGGACTCATTAAAAACTAAGCCCTAAATTTTATTTGAAAGAATTTTTACATGATTTTCTCTTTTAAGTCTTGCTTATTCACCTGCTGATTAGTTTATCCAGTGCTTAAACAAGTGTATATGCTCGGATTCTGGGTCTTAACTAGAATCAGAGAACTAAGACCTATGCTAGCAATTGACTGAACTCTCCAGATGCCTATTATTCTCATGGTTGGTAAACTGTATACTGTGTTGGTTCTAATAGTAATATTTGAGGTCATAGAATTTGAAATGCATTTGATTCCAATATAGGAGCAACTGTAAAGAAAAGAAATGCCCAACAAAAGCAAAGCTTTCTTTTTGCCAACAATAACCAAATGTACAAAGAATCTTTCTTTTCTCTTTTCTTCAACCTTTTCACTGATCCATAGGAAGCGTAAAGACATTCATTTGCAAACCCAGAACCCAAAAAGCATATCTACACTCAATGCCACTCTAACAACAGAAAAAAGAAGCAAGGGGAAACGGATATATTTTTTCTTATGTACATTTCCACTCTGCTATGTTCCATTAATAGCACAAAATCATGCATTTTAATGAATTCATATGGGCTCTTTTAAAGGCAGATTACAAATTCTAAAACTAAGGTATCGGCATATTTTGGTCTTTTTCCATACTGCAGGCCGTGAAATGAATAGATAAAGCTCTCTAGCACGGTACAAAGGCTCACCACTTGCATAATTCAGGAAAAAAAAAAGTGGAAGCTTGAAAAATCAACTAAATAATTCAAATTTAAAAGATAGCTAGATACAAAGTTCATGTCTCATACTATGTACAAAGGAAGATAGAGAATTCCAACCTCTGCGAGAGAAACAGTATGATATGCTCATCTTCTTAGTAAGGGCAAATAATGTGAACCATCAAACTTGGAAGTAAAATTTGATCCGAGCCGAATAAGAAGTTTCCATTTTCTCTAAACTATGAGAAATAACCAATTCCGAGTAAATTCAAAGTGTAACAGAAGCATTGCAAGAAAATTCGAAGTACAAAAGAAAAGGAAGCATATTAGTACAGTGACGGCAAAAGATTACACTGCAGCCCAGATATCTTTATGATAAGCAGCATGTACCTATAAAATGTTTTAAGCTGCATTATCTAGCATTTTAATCAGATAATTTGCAGAACTGTTTGAAAAACAAGGCTTGCAGGTAAAGTGGAAAAAAATTATCATGAGAATTGAAAGAAAAAAGTTCATGAATCATGCTTATCATATACATAACATTAAAAACTTGGTGGCCTCTCACTCTCAAGTAAGATTAATGCATAATTGCTCAGCTAAATAGTTGACACATTCAAAGCATAACCAGTGAGTCTGAATGTGTATCTAACCTGAGCTACTAATAGTAGTGACCTCAGTCTGCCCACAGGACTAAAGCTTGCCTTTTTATAGCACCATGGCCCTTCTGATACCATCATTGACCTTGTTTTAAAATTTTAGAGAACTTTTTAAGTTTTTGATAAAAAGTTGAAACGGTAATCAACCTCCATTTTCTGTGAAATATTAGAAAAATCAGTCACTTATTTTACATTCAGAATTGACCGCCATCCCACATCTCAATGTTTATAGATACTTGAAATCAAAATTAATGTAGTCTTTTTAACCAGTCACACAACAAAGTAGTTTTATGATTCCCATCTAAAGTTCAAACTTCTATCCAATGATGTGCAATGAAATCATTTCCAACACATCAAGGTACTTACTCATTATTCACAAGAATTTCATCTATTTGTCACCATATGAACAAGGACTTCATTTTCTATTTCCGGAGTAGATACCAAGAAGATTGATATCATACACAAGAGTTGCATTTCCAGGGATATTGCAGTCACCTGGATAAACAATGTCATAGATGTTAAGACAAAGTCATTCTGTAATAACAATTGAATGTAGGGGTGATGTTACTTCTTTCTCATTCACATAGTACAATAGAGCAAACTTAGAATTTTTCCATCATGTAGCAGTAAAATTAAGACATTCCATTTCATCCAATAGAAACTTGGTAAAACCTAAGAGCAAAGTGATAAAATCTCCGATATAATGGCTGTTTGACAGCAAAAGCCAGCACTCAAAAACTAAATAAAATGGCTGGAAAGCCATAGTGCACATGATAGAAAAAGCATGCATAGAGGTAAAAAGAAAGATAAAAGGATAGAATTTCCAGTTTGGACGCATTTTCCCAAATGCTTACTGCAAAGCTAAATCTGTTGCATTTTAATACTATGAAATTTTCAAATTTGGAATATAGATAATCAGCTTCCAGAATATCAGTCACATTGGAAGTTCACCTGAAAAGCATCCTGCAGGTTCGGGCCCATATGCTAAGTGTGGAGGAATCTGGAGCTTACGTTTCCCACCTGCAAAATATTGGATGGGTGACCACTCACAAAAAACAGGAAAAACCTGAAATCCATCTATTGTCTTCAAAACCATACCTATCTGCATTGGTGGTACTCCTTCACCACCAAGAATTCCCTGATCCAACCCCTTAATGACCTAGATAGCATGTAAAAGATAATTACTGAAAGATAAATCAAGGTAAAGAATGGGAAGAACTGCATTCTATCCATGCTTGTTCTCCCTGTTTATTAGGAACTACACAGTGGGTGGGCAGGGGAGGAATCATGGTGTAATTGCACTCATATTGAAAAGTTTCAGTTCAGCTTCCAATTCCTTTTCATTACAATTATCATCACTAATACTGTTGCTAGCTTCTCATAACTATTGGTTGCTCATGAAAGATTACATTTCTTAGTTGTCCTTAAAGAGTAAGAACAAAGAGATAAAGCAAGCATAAACAAAAGTGAATATGTCATACTCTGGGCCACTTGTTACTTCAGCAGCACTACTAGATTGAGTGAGCCTAACCAATGTTGTCCAGAAATATAAGCTTGAGATTGGTAAGATAAGTTGGAAGGCTCTAATGCATTTCAGATTTTACCCTGCAATCAGATATCTAATGCGCTTGTATGTCAGATCACATTTCCCATTGGTAAAAAATCCAAGTAGCCACAGTCTTAATCAGCTCTTAGATGATTTGAAACATCTCCATTAGCCAACAAATCCAAATACCCTACTGGAGTGGACTTAAAAAAAAATGGCCTATTAAGCTCCTTGTTGTAGTTGGTTGCTTGTACGTTTATACTTAAGACACTTTTTTACTTGTTATAAGTACTATTATATTGATTTTAACAGTTAAGTGAGGTAACATACACAAAAAAAAAATTCTTATAATTGATTGTTGTATGCTAGTAGATCAACAGGTTACCTTGCCACTTCTTGTAATTGAGAAAATAATTGAACTGAACTAAAATGTAAGCTAATGAGTTTCATAATTCATATACCTTACCAACACCAATGCGCATGGTGAGAGGTCTACCCCGTTTGTAACTACTGTCAAAAACTATCCCATCAGCAAATCTTGCGGTATAATGAACCTAATTACAGAAAAGAAAAGAGGAAAACCGCAGGTTATATTTTCAAAGCAGCATAATAAATAAAAAGTACTCATTAGCAACTACCAATATCTCTATTGAGGAATCAGACATCAGGATTAAAACAGAGGGAAAAAGATTCAAAGACATGAATTAAGGGCATGTTTGATTCATCTTGAAATCAGAAAGGAAGAAATGAATGTCTACATGCAACTTATCCTATTAAGAATTATACTAACAAGATACCATTTCAACATAGATTTTCAAAATTTTAAATATCAAAATGTTAAAAGAAAATTTTGGATTACTTGTGAACCAAACAAAACATAAAAGAAAAATTACAGATTGAACCAAACGGGAGAGAAATGAGACTAGACAGATATTAGAGTATTAAAAAAAACTAAAATTAATGAATGCAATAGCTAAAGTTTTTTCACTCACATTAACAAGCTGACCATATGGAGCTTCCTGACCAGACCCAACAGAAATATCACAATAACCAAGACCAGAGCGAACAAAATTGAAGTCACATAAAGGGTCTCCTACAGTAGCATAGTACTCAATACGAGTAGCATTGGCATCCATTGGAGTAAAAGCAAGAATTGAAGCAGCTAGAAGTCCAATACCCATATCAAATATGCATTTCTTTCTTGTGGAAACTGAATTCGATGAGAAATTTAATTCTTTATTATTTGATAAACAAGAAAAACAAGAAAATGGTGATAAATGAGAAATGCGTCTAGAGGGTAAAAGGGGTTTATGAATGGTGAAACGATTTTTAGGGGATGTGATGGCTGAAGCAGAAAGTGCCATTGTCGTACCAGCTTTGCTTTGTTATCTGGAGAGTAGAGAGTAAGTGGTTTTTAAAAGTGGATATACAAGGAAGATGATGGATTTAATGGAGGGACTCGCCTTCAGAGAATTTCTGATCGTTGGATACGGATAAGACTTGTTGGGTTTTGGGAAGCGGACGGCCTCCGTTAAGAGGCTTTTATACATTAGCGGACTTTGGCAAATACAAGGCCGTCGATATCTGTAATAAACCTTAAGTTAATAAACTTGTAATAATATATTCTGTCCGTATAAAAGTATAAATAGTTTTATCCGAAATTAAAGAATAAATAATTTTTTTAAATTATAATAAAATCAATGATAATTTGATTAAATTATTTTTTATTTTTAAATCAAAATTAAATATCAAGATAGTTATTATATTTAATATAAATAAAAGTGACATTAAAAAAATATATTTTTATTAAATTATATTATCTTTTATCTTAGACCCAAAACTAAGTATCAAGTTAGTTATTATATTTAATATAAATAATGATAAAATTAATAAATTATTTATTACTCGTTAAAATACTCAAAATATATTTTATGTAATATTTTTGCTTATCTATATTTTATTTATATTTTAGATTTTGCAATTAAAGTAGATTTGAGAAGAAAGTGAATTTTAATTATTGGACTTGATTATATATATACATATATTTTTTATTGCTCATTGTATGTCATTGGAGGATGTTTTGCATGTTAGGTTTACTATGAGTTTTGAAAATCTCATGCTTATTCAAGTTATAATGTTAGGGTATGGTCAACAATACTAGTAAGTAACTGTTTTAATAGCTTTTAACTGTTTTAGTAGCTATTACTTGTTAAATGTTAATTGTTAGTTGTTAATTATTAACTTTTAGGGGTTTATGTATTGGTTTGAAGTAAAAATGTTTGGCAAAAATAGAGGATGGATTAGTTGTTAAAATTAAAATGATAAAAAAGGACATTAGAATGTTGACTTAAAATTTTAAATTATGGTCATAGAACTCAAATGGATTAATTGATAAAAAATAATATATATATATAACAAGTGTCTTTTTTTTTTTCTTTTCTAAATTAGTAAATTATTATCATATTTTTTATTTTTTATTTCAAATTTTTTTCTATAACAAAAGATTATTTCTTATAAAATTAAAATGAAAAGACAAGAAAAAAAAATTAAATAAATAACAAGAGCACCAAATTCAAAGGAGTGTTATAAGAATTAGAATTGTAAACCTCACAAATAGGGGGAAAAAAAAAAGCAAATGGATAAGGATAAGAGTGTAAAAAAATAAAATTTAAAATTTAAAACGCTAAATGTTAAGAGATTTAACGTTTAATGAAACGCTAGTGTGTCGACTCTAGTCAAAACACTAACAGTTCCGTGAAACGCTATTGCTGAACAGACTCTTAGTCTAGCTCATATAATTTTCCAATCAAAATATAATATATAAAAAGAAAAATTTCAAAAATCTCAATATATCTATATCTATATAAATATATAATTTCTAAGGCTTAATGCTTATGTGGTAATATGTTAGAATATGAAAATGATGACATGATATTTTATTTTTTCATTATAATTAATATCTTTTATATTTAAATAAAAATTAAATATTTTTTATTACATAATGAAGTTACAATTAAACTAATAAGATTTCATTATTACAATAATTAATTGTGATAATTAATATTTCAGTTTAATATTTAAGAATTTAAAAAAGAACCTATAATTTTACCTTAATCATTTAATTAAAAGTACATAAGTAAATTATTTAAATTAAAGCAACGAAATATAAATTAAAATAATTTTCTTGAAAATTTTACATTCAATTTAATTTAAAAAAAATATACAATTTTACGCATCGCATGGGTACATAACTAGTTTTATAAAATAAAGAGAGGGTCTAATTTTAAAACTCTCTTTATTTCACTTTTAATATAGACTGGTCTTTTTTATGATGTACGTTGCACGTTTATTATACTCGTTCTTTATACTCGTTTAATTTTTTTATTTACATGATATTAAAGCATAACTTTTTATTTAGATTAAAATAAATAAAATATTTATTTACATTATACTTTGCCCTAAAAACTACTTATAATGCTATTTCTATTTTATATAATGAACTGATCTCAAAATAAAGTTAAACCAAAATCCTAAACCTAAATTCAGCTCTTAATTTATACAGATTCTTGAAACCCTAATAAGTGTTCAAAAAGTGAATCAAGTCATCACTCAATCCTCAACGCTTATTCCCTAACCCTAAATCAATATCTATATATATTTATAATGAAAAAGTAAAATGAACATAAAAAATATTTCTTACTGCAAGGTAAAGAAAATAAATGAAGAACTTATTTGAATTGTTTAAAAATAACATGAGCCAGAACAATAGTTGAAATCATTTTGGCTATAATGACAGTATTATTTACTTAGTACATTAGAAAAATGAACATATTTAAATGTACGGATCCTTGAAGCATAAAAAATGGACTAAAAATAAAAATATATAATTCTATTTTTTTTCCTAATTTTCTAAATACTATTTTCCTTCGAGTCAAACAAATTTAGGATATAAGAGAAAAAAATATTAAAAAATTAAAAATGTTCAATCATTAAGAGACCATCTTTTTATATATATTGAAATGATATTTTTTTTAGATGTTTTTTTAATTTTCTTTTATTTTAAAGTTTATTTAAAATTTGGATAATAATCTGTTTTTTGAAAAATTAATATCCTAATTAATCAATCATTGAAAAATTTGATTAGGATAATGTGTTAAAATAATAATTAGCCATTGGCTTCTTATTGTAAAGGAATTGCAAAGAAAAGTGAGTTCACTTTTTGAAATCATACAGAAATAATCTCGTGCTAATTGTACTCTTCTTATTTCTCTCCTTCAGCTTCTCCCTTTTATTTTTAATATCCTAATTTATCAATTATTAAAAACTCAAATTATTTAATAAACTCAAATTATTATCAATTATTCAAAAGAATATTTTAAAAATTTTAAAATTTCACTAAAATTATTATTTAAGTAATTTCATTATTCCTCTTATTCCCATTTTTTTATATAGTATAGATATATAAAATAGATATAAAAATAGATAGACGGATAGAAAATTTTGCTTTATTTTTTTTTTTCAATAGGAAATATATGTAGACTCTATATAAACATAGATATAGATATAAATATATGCAATCTTATATATTATATGGTTGAGAAGATAAAAGTAATTAAATTAAAAAAACATGAAATTATTTCTTTTTTTATGAATAAAAGGGGAAAGAAAAAAAGATATATAATAGTTGTAAAATTGTAAGATGTTACGAGAGATTCAATTTCCTCCATTGGCATTTTTTCTAAAACAAACTCTTCCACTCTTTAAGGTGAGATTAAGTCGGTAGTATGACTTTTTCTTTCCATCTCTCTCTAATATAGTGGATTATTAGCCTAAAATTGTTTTTGTTTTCTTGTTTCTGAGAACAAAAAAAGAAAAAGAAAAAGAAAAAAGAAAAGACATTGGCTTTGCTTCCAAAGAGAAGGGAGCATTTTATTTGATAAAAATAAATAAATGGGTAGGGTAAAACTCCCGATTAAAAGAATAGAAAACACCACAAATCGACAAGTTACATTCTCTAAACGCAGAAATGGACTTATTAAAAAGGCTTATGAGCTTGCTGTTCTTTGCGATATTGATATTGCACTCATCATGTTTTCTCCTTCCGGCCGTGTCAGTCACTTTTCCGGCAAGAGAAGGTAATAATTTCTCTCCGTCTCTCTCTCTCTCTCTCTATCTCTTTTTTTTCTCCTTTTTTCTCATTTGTGAATTTCGTTTAAATTCTGACTTTCACATTTAATTTGTAATTATAGATCAAAATACATTATATTTGAATATAATTTCTTTGAGTTCTTAAATTGCAGGATCGAAGATGTGATTGCGCGTTACATAAATTTGCCTGATCATGATCGAGGATGGTACATATTCAATAATTTATTTTTTTTTCTTTATAATTAATTTCATTTTGAATAGGAATTTACTTTTGCATTGTCTTGCAGTGACATTCAAAATCGAGAGGTAATGACATAAAATATTTATGAACGTTCATATATACCTTACAGCACAAGCAATATTATTAATGTCATTGTAAGAAAATAAGAGGACATAATTTTCAGGTTATGTGCCTTCTTATAATCCTCATATCCATTGCAGTATCTGCACAGCACCCTTAAGAAACTCAAGTCTGAAAATGATATGGCCCTTCAAGCTGCCAAGTACATATATATATATACTTCCCTCTCTTTCTTTTATTTTTTATTTATTTATATGTTTGTTTGTTAATAGCATTTTCTCCTTTTTCCTACAGCCCTGAGGCTGCAAGATCAAATGCAGAGGTAAAAAAATTATTAAAATTACTGAAATGAAATTGTAATGAACTTGATTAATTGCTTTCAAGGCTCAATTTAACATAATCAAGCTCAGACTCATCCCTACCTTTTTAAAGATGTTAGAAACTAATTAGCAATTTATTTTTAGTCCTATATTCTCTATATTTGGAATTTTATTTATTTTAATTATCTGTTCATATAGGAACTCCAGCAAGAAGTTTGCAATTTACAACACCAGGTTCAGAGAGCCGAGGATCAGTTAAGGTTAGAAAATTATTTTTAACAATAAATTATTAATTAAGGTACGTACAATAATGATTTTGAAATTGTTGTTTGGGTTCTATAAGTGGAAAGGAATCTAATCACCCTTAGGCCGTTTCTAAAGCAGTTCCGAATCATCCATTTTAGTTCAATTTTAATTTAAAATAGAAATTAGACAACTTTCTTCTTTTTAATTTTAAAATTTCTTTTATTTATTTTTATACCAAAAAATTTTTCTTTTATTTTGTAGTATGAATAAATAAATAACAACAACAACAAAAATAAGTAGTAGTATAGAAAAAGACTAAAAGAGTTCGATAAAACATTTGAAAAATTATAAAACAAAAATAAATTGAGATTTTTTATAGTCCTTAATTTCATAATATTTTTTTTATAGTCTCAAATTAAAATTACTGATTGTAAACTGTTAGTCGTGGTTCGAGAAAATGAGGAACTGAAATTCAACCAAAGGCACACGGTTTCAGTTCCAATTTAGTACTAAAAATTATTGATTATGATTTGTTTTTTATTTTTACCGATTTAATTATGATTTAATTTTATCGTAGAATCAAATAAGGTCAATTTTTATTTATTTGTTTTGCGTGAAATGAAAGAGATTTAATTTGATGGTTTGGTCAATTTGTCTAACATTATACATATTGGTGTTCTGGATAACTTAATTTAAAAAGGATATATGAACCTGACCCTCTAAAATTCAATTCCATGGGAGAACTTGAATCTTGTGAAAAAAGCCTTTTGGAGATCATGGCACGTCTTGAAGATAGAAAGGTACATAGCTCTCCACTATATTGCTTTATGTACATTTAATTATAAGCATTTATTAATTCAAAATTTAAATTAATCAAACTAATTATATGTTTCTCTTATATTATATTTTGTTGCAGAAATATCTTTTGAGTAACCATGCATCTACCTATGACCCATCAACCGTACAGGTAATCAACTATATATATATATGCATATGCATGTATGTATAGCTTTTTAATCAAACCGCTGTTTCTATTATTTATTTATAGTGTTCGGTGGTGTAGGATTTATATTAGTGTCTAAAGTTTGTTTTTTTTTTTCTAAAAAAAAAAAAAAAAAGAGAAATTATGCACATATATACGGATTTAATTGCATCTGTATATACTTTCAGTAAACAATCTTCAACAGCAATGTTTGATGCGATGTCGTCTCATGGAACAAATGTAAATGTGGATGCTGCTAATTGCAACATTGGAGTAAACCAAATGAACAACTCAAATAGTGATCAGAACATAACAGCTTGGCATCAAGCTTTCTCTTCATTGTCTTCAACTGAGTTTTTTGCTGCTTTTATGCCTCCTAGTTCATTCTCTATGATGAAGGTTCTCCTCTTGTGTTTCGCCTGTTCTATTTGATTAAGCAATTTTTATAGTCTATTAAGCAATTAATACTGTTTTGTGCTAGTAATAAATTAATTTTTTATTATCAGCATGAGATTGAAGGTCCAAGCTTCACTTCAATGTTGCAACAGCAGCCAGCAGAAACCACACAAAACTGCACACAAATGCCTTGTAGTGTTGAAGATTCAAACTATGAGAGTTATGAAAGCAAGCTACAGCAGTTTGATGTTGAAAGACATTTACATAATGACTGTTGAAGACCTTAATTACTTTCTTTGCTTAATTAATAGTTAATTATAGAATTTTTGTCAAGATTCAGTGCTATTGCTAATCTGAAATTAATGGCCTGTAAATTATCTGAAAAAAAAAAAAAAGCAATACAAGTTGACTGTGAAAGAACAGGGGAAGGGGCTGCAGAGATTTTTCCCCTTTTCAATTACTGTGGAGAGCTCTATTTATTATTGTATAATTTGGAACTTGTTGAATTTCTAATTAATTATTTTTTTCAAAGGAAAAAAGTAAATTTTTATTTAATTGCAGTTAGGTTTATTCTCAGACTAGCTACATATATAAAACTAAATTTCTCCCTCACACGAATTTTAGGTTTGGGCTAGTCATACCATTCTCTAACGAAGAGAAAAAAGGAAAGAGCTCTACGACCCGGTAAGGTGTCTCCGGGGAGAGAACTTGTGTTCTATGGGAGGGGCCATGTACGCCATTTAGGCAGTCAATTCCATCTTTTTTTACTGCAATTATAGTTATTTAGAACCAATAGAAGTCTCTACTGATGTGCCATTAGTGAGTCCCGTGCAGAGTCAGCACCGACAGAAATGCCATGCCAGACACTTTTAGAATCATGCATCGAACCATTCTTGTTTCTACATATCCTCCAATTCTTTAAAAACGAATAATCAAATTCCTAATATATCAGTAGAAACCCACTTCCAGCTTTACTAAAGTCCCTAATAAAATGAGAGTTGCCTAAAAAAAATTGACTAATTGCATTTTAACAATTCTAGTTGCAATTTGTGTAATAATTTTATTTATTGTGTAAAAGATGACCATTTACATCTTAATTTTTTTTTTTCTGAAATGTATATTAAAAAGTTTTTCTCCCTATACGGTGTAATAGACGTATAAATATTGTGTAACAAGTGGCTTTTTGTATAGTAAGTTTACCGGTTACAACTTAATAGGTCTAGCTACAAGAATAGTGTAACTCGTCATCTTTTAACAACAAACTTTGTATAACAGGCTACGAGTAAATGTAGTTACAACTTAACTGATTTGGTAGCTTGTATTCTGTAACAACTGCAAGTATTGTGAAAAAGTGACTTTTTATGTATTCCAATAAATAATTTTACAACTATAAAATTCAAAAATAAATTATTCAAAATATTAATAACTAATTATAAATTTTCTATTCATGTATGGTTGAAATATTTATAATACATTTATGCAATGGAAATTGTATTATATATATATATATATCGTGTAAATCACCAGTATCCGGACCCATTACCAGGACCGCCTAATCCAATTCAGGGTTTAGTTATAATTAAGGCTCTTCGCCCCTCCTTATAGGTGCGTTTAATGAAGATTGAATACGAAAGTTCTTTTCACATACTTAATCTGCATTATCAACTGAGCCACAATCCGTAGATCACAAGCTTCTTTTATTGTTACATTGTTAAATTATTATCTCTAGATTATGCCCCTCCATATACATTTTTAATCTTCCATTAGAGAGAATGTTAATGTGAGTTAGAGTCCAAGCAAGTCTTGTACACCTACTGCCATCTGAATAATTGAATCCATCCACAGCACTTGATACCGTCAATACTAAATAGGATAATATGATTGCCACCCGACGCTGATCAAAAGGAAGACCCAATAGGGCCCAATTTTTTTTCAACTTTCCCGCCAAAACTAACAGAAACTAATATACAGAGAACATGCTCCCCCGTCTGTAACAAACCCAAGTAACCGCCATGGTTTCTCAACTCTCATTTTCCGATGCCACGCGCCTTCTTATCTCACGCAATCAAACCTCCATAGCTAATAGTGAGCCACGTGTAAACGTTCATCTCAAGCCCAGATTCGGCTATAAATACTTCCGAAAAATGTCTCTCTCTCATTACATTTCACAGTTCTCTCGTTCTCCAATGGCGACTTCTCTGCCATTTTGGCTTCCTTTTGCGATCTTGATCCTCTATCTCCTCGTCTCCCAAGCAAATGCCACTGAAATTCTTAACTCAACCTCCGCCGCCGCTAGCACATTCTCCCCGCCGCTACTGTCTTCGCCTCCGGTTTCTGCTCCGCCTACAATCTCTCACGATATCCATGAAAACGCCTTCTTCTCTCATACAGCTCTCCTTGCTCCGATACTTTCTCATCTCGGCTTCAACGAGCTGTCGATGGCGGCTCCTTCTCTCTCCTCCGACTCTTCCGCCACCGCTTGGTCAGGTCCCTCTACACTTTTTGCTCCCTCTGATTCCTCTCTCCATACTTGCTTATCTTGCTCTATTCCAAATATCCTTCGTGAACACATGATTCCTGGTCTTTACACCATCGATTATCTCAGAAAACTTGTTTTCGGCACTAAAATAGAAACCCTAAGTCCTGGTCGTTGTCTCACCGTCACCTCTACTTCGTTCAAAAGCACCACCGCACCATCCTCCGCAGTCAAAGTTTTCATTGGTGGCGTGGAGATCACGCATCCAGATCTGTTCAATAATGGCCTCATTATAGTTCATGGACTCCAAGGCTATGTTGCTCCTCTCTCGCAGTTCTCTTGCGATGTTGAGAGATTGAGTTCTCTTATGATTCCATACACGCCAGATCGTGCTTCTCGCCATACACAACACCAGCCACTGGCGCAGCCTGCTATCATGCGGTTGATGCTTCGTGACGCGATGCTCAGACTCCGCAACAATGGCTTTAGCATCCTTTCTCTTGCGATGAGAGTGAAATACGCTGAGCTTGTGAGCTTAAGCAACATGACAGTGTTTGCTCTCGACGACGCTTCAATCTTCAGTGGATCTCACTCATACATCAGTATCATAAGATTTCACATCGTGCCTAACCATTTTTTGACTGCTGCTGACCTGGAGAAGCTTCCGGTGGGGGCCACACTCCCTTCGCTCGAAAGAGGCCAGTCTCTGGTGGTTACTACTGCTGGTGGAGGTGGTCCAGGGGCGTATCCCATGAGGATTAACTATGTGAGACTTAAAGTGCCTGACGTGATACGTAATCTGAAGATTGTTGTGCACAGCCTTCACCTGCCGTTCCCAAGGATTGATCTCGCTGCTGCCAGCTTTGATGGAATAATGGGAACTGAATTGGACAGTGGAGATCATGCAGCCGAGGAAGAAGCCTGTGCGGCTGGTATGGAGGACGGAGGAAGTTGCGTTGCGGTCCCTATGCCTCAGGTGAACCCAACGGCGGAGATTGAAGATCATAATGGCCTGTAGGTGAAGACTGATGTGTCATTCATTTTCTTTTGTTGGTGATGACGTGTCATGTGAATATTCTTGAGTAACGGTTTCAGGCTGCTGTTAGTCTGAGTCGAGTCAAAGTTTGTTTTAAGTTGCCAGTACAAGATTTGTAGAGGTCATCCAAGTAAGACGCATGTACTGTGCATGCTACAAAAATTTCCATCTGTTTTGAATTTTCAATACAATAATAATGGTAATCGTTTTCATTCTCATAGGATCATTTCGCTTTTATTTTTTAATTTTCCAAGATAATATAAATGCATTTTAATACTTTCAATTATTTTGCTACTTCTATTATTTTTTTCCCTAGGTATATTATATAGGATCATTTGATTTTGATAACTTTACTGAAAACAGTCGATTCTTAAAATTTTGAAAAAAAAATAATTCAGGAAATTGAAAGGGAAAAAAGAAAAGGAAAAAAAAAAAAAAAAAGCCCAGGATTGGATTGGGATGTGATATAATATTTTACGACCATTAGATGACAGCTTTGGAGGTGTAGATATGAGCTTTAGCTGTGGAATAAGCCCGTGTAACTACTGTTTTAGTAACCGGCCTACTCGACTTTCTGTCCTTCTAAGGTTAGGGCACAGATGCGACGGAGCGGTGTTACCTCAAGTAGTTGGGCTAAACAATGCCCACTTGTATTTAGGTGTGACTGTTGCTCAAGGGATGTAAAATGAGGGTCAAAATATTGTATTCTATATCGGAAATTACTTATCTAGATCTGATCCATAGCTATACTTTATGTACTAAACCAATAACAATAAGAATTTTTTAAAAGTTTTTTGACTTTATTCTTTTTTTTCCCTATGTATAATAAAAAATATTCTCATTTCAATAAAAAAACATCGTTCTCATTGGTTTGATTCATGAGTGGAGCCGTAGACCTAGTTTAGATAAAATTTTTCGTTTCTTCTTTTGGATCAACTCCACTCATATTAAAATATGGGTCAAACCCAAATCTATTTTATCCACAGTTTAATGACAATTGTTTTGCCAAAATCATAAATTACATATTTATTTTTGTTTTTTCAGCAAAGAAATTTTTTTATATATTTTTTGAAAGTAAGAAAAAACTTTTATTAATTAAATAGAAAATACATTATGCACATACACTAGTTAGATAAGAAACACTCCTTCACAAAACCATAACAATTTTATAAATAACAATATGAAATAACTTGAAAGATCGAAAAATAAAAAATAATAAATTTTAATTAGAAAAAAACTCGGTCAAATAAAATTCAATTTAAACATGATTAATTTCAATTTTATTAGTTAATATGTTACTATCTTGATTATAGTCTATATCTTCTTTGTTATGAAAACAATATATAAATTATTATCATAATTTAATCATAGAATCTATTAAAAATTATAATGTATAAATTTTTCAAAGCACGTATTCAAAAAAAAAAAAATCACGATTCATACAAAAATCTATTTTTTATAATAAATAAACAGAGTGTTCTCAAGTAAATTTTTAATTGCAAATAATAAAATCAATTCATCTTATCTTCGTATTGTTAGTTTATTTGATGTGATAAACATACCGATTATGTGGTGACATAATTTGTGCAAAGAACGCTTACTCTCAAATTATTTTATTTTTATTTTTACTTTTTCCATTTAAAAATAGAATAAAACAGAATTAGTAATGAAGGTTAATATTGTTAAAATATTTTATATTAAAAACCTGATTGAGAAAAAATCAAATATTTTTATAGAAGTATATAAACGAATACACATATACAACATACTGCTAGAAAACTATTTGGTCAAAATTGATCAATTTATTGTGTGCAATTTGCACCTTACAAACAGTCAAACAAGATGAATGAGTTGACTTTGAAAAGTTGGGTGGAACTCGAATCCACATCACATATGCTCATAATTACTCCAACCAATATAGGCCGTGTTCCACCCTAATTTTTTAAATAATTTTTAGTATCTGAACGGGTCAAATGCTAAACATTATCTTTTACAGTGTTTAGTGATGTAGTGTTTTAACTGTTTTTTATATTTTATTTATTTTTATAAAATAATTTGTAGAAAAATATTTTTCATTGTAAAAAGTTAAAAGTTAAACGTTACATAAAGATTAAAATAGCGTTTTATAAAAAGTTAATTCATATAATGTTTAACTTTAAAATAAAAATTTAACAACTAAACACTACTAAAACAGTTAACAATTGCTAAAATAAATAATAAAATAGCTAAACACTAATAAAACGAAATAGGTAACAATTGCTAAAATAACTAATATTGCTTAACAGATATACAATAATATTATATTGATAGAAGAAACTTCCTTCCACTCCACTTCTTTAGACATATGCTTACGGTTACAGGTAGCATATAAAAGATTTAAAGCAAAGCTTTCTTAGCTAAGCAAACAATGTCGTCTTTGTGCAATTTAAACTCTATGTTAGGATTAGAAACGGACAAAAAATATATAAAATAGACACCCTTGTCGTCTATATTCAATAAAATAAACTAAATTAATTCATTATGTCCCACTTCCTTAATTATCTTATCTCTTTCTCTTTCTCTCTTAATTTTAATAGTAAATTAATAGAAAAGAATTATTGAGATCGGAGTAATTAGGTCAGGAAAAAAATAATTTAATCAAATCAAAAAATATTGTATTATAATTTAATTAAACGATTTAATTACTTCATTAATCACAATGCGTAAACTTTAAATGATAAACAAGAATGGAATATATAATAGGAAATGATATTCCATGAAGGAGTCTCGGACGAAAATATATATGCATGTGATAATAATAAATTAATTTGGTGAAAGTGGTTGAACTTTTCTATGCAATTTAACCCTTACCTTGACAGTCAAAGAAAGAAGATCAATGGCAGGATTAGAAAAAATGAATAGGACAAACAAATTGCTTTCCTGCGTCAATATTAGGTAATATGCTCACGTTAGATTGAAATTTCCTTGATCCTACGTCCATTGAATGCTTTCCTGTTTTTCAGGTGAAGAAGATGCTTTTTCTGCTGGAATTGAATCTTTTATTAATAAAGATACTGCAAGAATAGTTTATTTAGGCATCGTTCATCTCTTCTTTGCTCTCATCTTTTGGATTCTTTAACCAATATCTCCATTGCAGATGAGACTAATCTCGTCTCATTTCAAAATTCATAATTGCTTCTCTCAGAATTTAAAATTATTTGTCTGTGTAAGTATTTTATTTACAAATTAAACATTTGTTCTTGGAGCGGCAATTCGTAGACATGTACTCAGTCTCATATTTTATACAACCTCTATTTTATAATATTTGTCATATTTGAGAAAATAGCTTGTTCCAAAATACTTGTCATATTTGTGATTTCAACAAGTAATAAATATTTTTTTCCATGTGTTGCCCTTTGCATATGACCAATAATTATTAATTCAATTTAATGGTTTTTTTAGAGAATCAGTATTACATTAAGGGTAATATAGTGAATTTACTCAATAATTTATTATAACTTAGAAAAATTTAATCATTTTCTTAAAAAATGTGAAATTTCAAATGTGTCAAGTACTATGAAACAGAAGTAGTACCGTATAAAATACTTTCCAAAGAGCTATTGAAAATACCTTGCTCCAATAAACATAATATAGTTTTCCCTCCGTTCTTTTTATATAGGTATAACCATATTTTCACAAATATTAAGAAATCAGTTTAACTAACTATTTTTCCTTATCTTTTTTTTAATATACCCCTAGTATCACATTAACTCCTCATCTAAAACGTAAAATTGCTTTTAATTTAATAATGTTTCTTAGTTGAATAATGCAATAAATACATTGTCTTCCCAAAAAAAAAAAATTAAGATATTTAATTAGGGAATAAAAATTTAAACTTTTGAAACTCAACTCTGCATCCTTAGTTGAAATTTTGGTAAATATATTGGCTTTAAAAAAATTGGACCCAATTTATACACTTACTGCTCACAAATTTAGACAAATACAACAGTATGTCCTATGAAATGTTCGATTTAAATCATAAATTAGATCGAAAATCAAACGAGTGTAAAAAAAAGAAAAACTAGTTATGCTCTGGCCTTTAAGGGAAACTTACTATTAGTCTGTCTTTGTATAAGTTGCATTAGAAAAAGCACTATTTCGTGCTCAAATAATCTTCCAACAGACTTGAGTAACTGTCAAAGAATTTAAATATGGAGTAGCTTCACAAAAAATGGCCCAAAGTGTAGAATCACAGCTCTTAACTATGCTCCATTTCTAAATTTTGTGCAATTTTAATACTCAAATTCCATCTCAATCAGCGCACAATTTTCTTCATTAACCATATTTATTTTTCTAACGTAAATTTAAAGAATAACAATTCTATCACCAAATTTCCTTTACATTTAATGCAGATTTATACTTTTATTTGCCATTTCTCCTATAATAAGACTTTCACAACGAATAAAATAAGGGTAATACGAGATTTTCATATTGACTTTTTTTCCACCGTTGCGAAATAAAAAAAGTTTGTACAAAAAGAACACTAAAAAAAAAAAAAGTTTCTGTTTAAAAAAAAAGAGAGAGTATCATTTAGATTATCATAAATGTGTAATTTCAGACAATTTAGTATTTGCCTATATATCATAATGAAAAATTTTAGACCAATAAAGGTTGACTTTGAAAAACGAGGTTGAACAGACACCTAATGAAGGAATTAGTCAAGCACATGTGATTGTTTTAAAGTTTTCCACCTAGAACTTTCCCATATATAAGTAACTTCATGCAATTTATCAATTTATATCACATATAAAACTTCATTTAGTGTACATTTCTTTTAATTTTATAATTTATATTTAAAATAAATTCTAAAAAACTTATAAAATCATTTTGCAAATCAAGCTTTAAATCTAATTAAAAAGAATATAAACAACCAAAATTAATAAATTTTAAATTTTGTACATAATTAAGTATATTATAGATAGATTTATTATTCAGTTTGATTTAGTTTTGAAGCTTATTCGAATCAAATTTATAAGACAATTTGTACAGTATCCAAACAAAATAAAATTATGAAAATACTCAAATCAAATCAAATCAAATGTGAGGTCTATAATATGATAATTTTGTATCAAAATTCTTGCAAGAAAACATTGCATGTGCCAAAAACTTAATTTGAGGTGTTTTTCTACCTTTGATTTTCTAAGTCTTCTTCTTCTTCTTTTTTATTTTTAAAAGAAAAAAGCAAAAAAGAAAAAGAAAAAAGGGATTATGAGTGAAAGTGAATTCAATTATTTCAATTTGATACAAATATAATACAAATGAATCATGTGTACATCAAACTAAAAGAAAAAGAATCATTCTATTCAAAGAAAAAGAAAAAAAAAAAAAAAAAAAAAAAAAAGATCCCCATTATTACATTTCAAAGTTTACTATCTATTGGCTATGGAAACCTTTAAAGTCTCTCCACAACCATAATAAGGAGGATGGCATTTTCCCAACTCTTTTAAAAAAAAAAAAAAAAAAAAAAAAAAAAAAAGATCCCATTTATACATTTCAAAGTTACTATCTATGGCTTATGGAAACCTTTAGTCTCTCCACAACCCATAATAGAGGATGGCAATTTCCCAACTCTTTCAATCCCTTCTTCAAAAACAACTCCCATTCCCATGAAAAAATGAGATTCAATATGGCAATGAAATAACCATGCGCCTGGATTATCCGCGACAAATCTCAAAGCAGTCCAGCCATAAGGATGCACAGCCACAGTATTTTTCATAATTGGGTTTTCCAAATTAAAATTCTTCTGATCATTGTACATGTCAAATTTGCCTTTTCCATACCCTAGAACCCAAAAATCATGTCCATGAAGATGCCATGGATGGGTCTCGCTGGTCTTGTTGTTCATAGATATAGCGTTTTGTAGGATAATATCAACTGTTGTGTTGAACTGCAGCCTATAAACGGCATCACTAATTGTCGCATTTGTGTTTTCTGGAACAGTATAAATATCATAACTGCTATAATTATATCCGGTAGGAGGCGAAACCTGGCTAAATACGTGGGTTAAGTTTTTCTTAAGTGCTATAAGGTAAGGAGTGTGCGGCAGGTTAAACGAAACATTGTTTACTGACCATCTATAATACTCATTTACGAGATTTTGTGTGTTTAACATTACGATTGTTCTATGTGGCATTCTGGGAGGGGTGTGAATGTGATCTTTATGAGCTTTGATGGCTACACTTTGCTCGAATCTTGGCTCAGTGTCGTTCCACACTGGGCCGGGCGGCGGAGTTGTTGCTGGAGATCGACGAGGATGGTTTGGGTAGTAGTTGAAGATGCCTAGGCCTAGTGGAGTTTTGGGTTCTCTACTAACAACATTTGTTGTCATCCAATAATTTCTTGAAGGATTTTGGTCTGTTTTTACTAAAACAGAGTACGTCTCGCCAGAGTATATGAACAGGTTTTGTACGACGAATGGTTCAACATAGTGCCCATCTGCTTCAACAACAGTCATATTATGTCCCTGTGCAAGAAAGTTTTGTTTCTGTTAGCAATGAATTAGGAAATTTTACCATTTAGTTGCAAGAAAATAATTTTTGATGACATCCAAATTACCTCAATTTGGAAACTAAGAGCTGATAATGCGGTTAAGCTAGAAACCCTCAGGCGATATGTTTTACCGGGAACAACAGTCATAAAATAGGGAGAGCATTCAGGATTAGTAGCATTGCAAAGACTAGAGGCAATGCCAGGAGTAGAGCAATTGAATCTTCCTTTCCCTTGTATTAAGAGTGACTGAAAATTTTCAAGAGACAAAATATAAGAAATTGAATCAAGAAAAGGAATTGGATGGTAAAAACTAAAGACTAATCTAACTTACATCAGGCTCTCCAACCCATTGAAAGGGAACAGAAGCCAATCCAGTTGCTTGTTCATAAGCACTTTTGTGATACCAATCATTAAGGATAATGCTCCTGTCATAATCGTAGGCGAAAGGTTCCGATTGTCCGTCCGGTAAGGATACTCGGATTGCTCCGTAGAGCCCTTCTTCTCTTTGCATACCATAGTGGGCATGGTACAAGTATGTCCCGGGCTGCATATTGAGAAGGTTAAATCATTATTTATATCATAATAATTTATAGGTTGTATTGAAAAATTTCTCTGAAAAACTTACCCTATCAACAACAAACTGATATTTGAAAGTATCTCCAGGCAAAATTGGGCATTGAGTAACCCCTTCAGTTCCATCAAACCAAGGAGTTCCAATCTGTAATCATAAAAGAAAAAGAAATTTAAAAAAAAAAAATGTAAATCTCCCTGAAAATGGATAATGAAATTTAAACTGAACTGTAGTTGATGCTTTGTACATACCTGTCTTATTCCATGCCAATGGATTGCAGTATTTTCAGTTAACAAACCGTTCTTGACTTCAACGATGACAGTGTCGTTTTGTTGAGCTAAGATCGTAGGACCTGGAGTTCTTCCATTTATAGTAATAGCTAATTTCTTGTAGCAATCAGGAGATTTGTATTCATACTTTATCTCAAATTTATAGTATCTAATTCTTGCCTCTGCAACTGATACAAAAACGAAAAATAACAGAACCAGCAACTTTGCTGCAAGTTTTTGGGCAGATGAAACTTTAATCATTGTGTATTCACCCAACAAATTTAAATTGGCCAAAATAGAGGTATGAATCTCTTTTTCCCTAAAAGAAAATCACCAAATCCGTAAACTTCCAGATTGAGAGAAGGAGACTGTAAATTGTCTCTGTTTTGTTTTTGAGGAGGAAATATGACTTTCCCTCCCCGCATTTTAATGTTTTATAGTGAGGCTTCCCCAAGTCTGAGTCAAATCTAGTGGCGGCTATGGGGCCAATTATCAGGAAAGAGAAGGGAAAATGATTAATGAAAATAAAAAATTAAGAAAAATCATTAGTTTCTTTTATATAATTATAAACCTGCTCTGTGGATATTGAGGAGCTCTGCATAGGCTGAATACAAAGATATGACAATCACGTTTTGTAAAATCATTTGATTGTTGAATTTGGTTAAAGACTTTTAAGTTTCGCATAAAGCACTTACGTTGTTATGTGACAATATTTTTGCATTACAAATCTAGTTTTTCATAAGACAACTAAACACATAACGATCAATTGTCAATTCATTAGAGAAAATATCTTAGTGAGATTATTAAAGTAGAACACATCAAGACAAACAAACAAGTTGCAGAGTTACTAAAAAGCTTTGAATCGTGAGCAATTCTATTTCTTATTGAGCAAAGTTGAGAACAGTAACATTTATGCTCAACTTAGTGGAGAGTGTTAAATGTAAATATTTATTTATTGGCTGAATATATAAATTTATTTATGTACTTTAAATATAAAATTTTGTATCACTCTAAACTTTTTGAATGAACTATTATTTCTTTAAAATTATAAATTTATGGTAATATTGTAAATTTATGCGCATTACCAACAATATTTTTTGGTGCTTTTGATTTATACGTGGAAATATTGATTTTACATGTAATTATTAAAACTTTTGCAACAATAATTTACATATTTTTTTAATTTTGTAATAAGTGTCCAATCGGTCATATTTCATTAGTCGAAATATATGGTAGACAAATTTTTCAAGTTAACTTTTTTAATAGATCTAATTTTATAAGTTAAAATGTTCAATAAATTACAGTAAAAAATTGAGAATGCCAAAACATTTTTTATGTAAAATATAGGATGAATGCATTGGCCTTCTATAATTACATATTTTGCCACTCTATATATAATAAAAAGGCTCAAACATTCAATAGAAGGTCAGAAATATGGCATTTTACAATTTCACTTTCTCCCAATGGGATTCTTGATTAAAGAAAGAAAAGCTTACCAAATGTTGTTGAATTTTTTTTCTAAATAAGTTGTTGAACTACTTCATCTGGTCTATTCTAAATAAGCACTCTCTTTTTCTCATAATTTGTGTCTTAATTTAACTTTATACAGAGATTAAAAAAATTTAGTTAATATAGTTAAATTATAATTTTTGCTTAATTTTTTTTCTAATATACCCTTATGTTAATATTTATAAAAATCAAACGATCCATATTAAATTATTCTTGAAATTAATTAAATATTCAATTAAATAGAATTTTATTGGAAGATTAAAGGTTGATATATTCTTGAAATTAATTAAATATTCGATCCATATTAAATTATTCTTGAAATTAATTAAATATTCAATTAAATAGAATTTTATTGGAAGATTAAAGGTTGATATATTGATTTTATTTATATCGAGATTTAATTAATAACAATATAGTAGTTTGAGTATTATATTTTTTTGACAAAGAAGCATATCAAATAAGGATAAAATAATAAATTTTAAATATTATTAACTTATAAAAAAAATGAAAAATGACAATAATTTGAGAGGGATGTTACTTTTATTAACGGATGGGGTGAAATTACTGTAGAGAATTAAGATTTTCTGTACCCATACAAATCCCAAGGATGTTACTTTATTAATAAGAAAGAAGAGGATAAAATTAAATTAAGGGTTAAGTAATGTTGTTTCAAATTAAAAATTGTGCTTTTCACATGGAGTTTGAATAAAGAAAGAGCTTTTTGGATTTTATCTTTCAGAATGATTCAATCATGTGCGAAAGGAATCCGACAAGTTAACATTATTGTAATTAAATTAAACTTAATTAAAACTTAAAAGAAACAGCAAAACCGTGTTTCTGCAATTTCAAGAAACATCTTTGCATTTTCCGCTAATTATGCTAAGATTTGTACTGTTCAGCCTAACAGTTAAAGTTGTCGAGGTCATGAAATTCGAAGGACGAGTTGATTTCTGTCTTAATTTTATTTTAATAGATTTTAATTTTATTATTTTCCAATAATTTTTTGTCTTAATATATTTTGTAAATCCCTTTCTTTCTCATTACAGTTTGTTTGAATATATGGAAGAAGAAATCGATAGGAGGAAGAAAAAAACAGAGAAGAAGAGAATATATATATATATATATATAGCTGTTCTCTTACGTTAGGACGAAAGAAGAAAAATGAAAAAATATATTTTATTTCACATTAAATACTGTAAATTCCAAATTCATCTATCATTTTCTCATCAATTTGAAAAGATTTTAATTTTGTACGTTTGGAAGGAAAATGGTACATATTTTCATTACTTGGATATTTTTCTCGTCCTTTCCAAAAAGAAAAATATCTTTGTAAATCTTTTTTTTTTATTATTGTATTCATTTTTGTTTACTTGCATAAAGGATCCTAAATCAGCTTTTCTTTTTAATCATAAATGAGCTTTTTAATACATTTTTTTAAAAGTAATTAACCCAAAATTAAAAAAAAATAAAAGAAAAAAAAAAAGAATAACAAAATTTGAATTTGATAATTAACAAAGAAAAACAAGGGAAAGAAATTTCTTGTGAACTGTAAATAAAGTTATATATGGAATTCTTAAAAAAAATTGTTAATGATGATTCTTGAATTGTGTAAACTCGCTTAAGATTTCTGGGAAAGTTCCTAAAAAATCATTTTAAAAAACATTTTATACATAAAGTTTATTACCAGATTAAGAGTTTATGTCGTCATATTATTGTTAAAATTTTACTTTTCTTTTTTGGATTAATGAATAAAGGGAAAGAGAAGCATTTAAAATACGACCATTTGCACATGTTGAACAGGAAAATTTTTAGATTAAGAACAGTTGCTAGGAGTTGAAGTTGAATAGTCAACAGTCTTTTTTTTTTTTTTTTTTTTTTTTTTTTTTTTTTTTCAGTCTTTTTTTTTTTTTTTTTTTTTTTTTTTTTTTTTTTTTTTTTTCTCTTTCCCTCTCTTTTTTCTTTCTTTACAAATAGTCAATATAGCCATGAATACTTAAAAGGTTGACTTTGAATAGTCAACCTTAATTAATGATGTAAGTTAATTAACAGATCCACAATGTATCCTACATACTTTGTGTTCTAGCACTATAGATTCGTCAGAATTTGAATCAATTATTCAAGATTGTAAAATACTTTTAGCTAACTAAGGGTGGCCATATTACGGTTTCGGGAACCGGAATCGTAGGTTCGAACCGGTCCCGAACAGTAACAGAAATCAGTGGGAACCGGAATTGGTCAGAACTGGAATCGGAACCGGAGATTTTGGTTCCAGATTTGTGGAACCGCAAACCAGCGGTTCCATAAACCAGTTGGAACCGGATTGGAACCGTCGGTTCTTCAGCCGGTTAGAACTGGTTTGAACCGATGGTTCTAGCCGTTAGAAACTGTCAGTTTTGTGTTTTTTTTTTTTTAATTTTATTGTGAAATCTCAAGTCTTTAAAAAAAAAATTTAATTGAATCATTTTTTATGAAATCTCAAGTCTTTAAAAAAAAAATTTAATTGAATCATTTTTTAATTTTTTTAGGTGTATTTTTTTTTTTACAAAAAACTTTCACAAATTTATTAAATTTTGAAAACCGGTCTTTAAAATTTAAAATTTAAAATTATATGATTTGCAGGAAAACCGGTCGGAAAACTGATCGGAACCGTTGGTTTTGACACTGTACCAGAACCGGAACCGTTCGGTTTCAAACCGGAACCGAAAATTTTCAAACTGCCCATATAATATTATGGTTATATGTATAACCATAGAAAGTGATTGAATTTAATGAGATATATTTAAACTAATTTGAAATAAAACAATAACTAAAAAGTTCATAGGAGAGAATAAAAATAATACTTGTTTTTTAATTATTATATTAATATCAATTAATTAAAAGTTATTTTATACTTGAAGGAAGTATCCCTGTAAGTTCCCCCGTCGTCCTTAATCAGGTGGTCGTTTTCTTTGAGTCGATTGAAGCGAAGAAATAAATTTGGATATACAGAAAATCAATTACCAAAGAAAATGAAATGTGAAGCTACGTATTAGCATATTATTAGCCGAAAGGTAAAGTCACAACTTACAATTCTTTTATTTGGAAAGGAAAATGAAGTGAACGCGGTTTTGACCATTTGCTTCGAATTATTTTATTTAGATGCTAACGTTGTGTGTCGATTTGATTACAATTAGAGTAATATATACTTAATCATCTGATTAGTTTTTTTCACTTATGTGAGGCTGAATTCGAATCATCTAAATCACAACTGTTTTCATCAATTTGATGAGCTAAGGGAAAATTTATCTCTATTGTGTAGCTCGCAGTGCTATTTTGGCTACAACAACCTCCAATGAATTAAATATATATATATATATATTTTAAGACTTTCATCTCTTATTTTTTAAAAAATTATTATTATAATATAAGTATCTTATGCTTAAATTCATTATCAGTTCCTTCCGTCTAAAAAGCCATCACTTCACCATTAATTAAATACACTTTATGGATGAAATATGTGCAAAATTTTATTTAATAAACTTTAGACTCTAGCATTTTTAATTTTTAAAAAGAAATAAAAATACAATGAATAGCGGGCTAGAGCTATTTTTATGATAAATTATTAAATATTTCAGTTTTTCATTGTATTTTGTTTCGTTCTAAACATTAAAAATGATGGAGATTAAAATTTATCAGTTAACTTTTTGCAACATGTTCCTATATATAAATAATATGTATTTATTTATTTATTTTATTTTCTACACATCAAAATTAAGATTTCCACTCCTTAAAAAAAGAAAAGAAAAGAAAAAGTAGAAATTTCACATGTTAGCTCATGTTTGGATCTTTTCTTTTTGTCACTGTTCTAACGTCTCTATTACAAAAATGTAACTTTCAATCAAGATTAAAGTTGAAGGGTTTAAAATCGGGATATAGTGGCAAAACTCTATTCAAGATATTTCATTTTCTCTGTACGTTCCAAAATTTTCTTAGCAATAAAACAGTCAATATGAAATATTTTTCGTGTGTGAAATGGCAAGTTATGTGTTAGTTGGAATTTTTTTTTTAATTAAAGGTCTTTAATTTTTATCATATTTAGCAGCAAAAATAAAATTAAAAATGAACAGAAGCTTACAATTTTTTAATGGATCTTTAAAATTCTTCTTTTTTTTTATCTTTTTTTTTTTAATTTATAATTAAGCCTTCTTCGTTAATTTTCTGGCTATATCCCTCCTAAGAAATAATATTATATTAAATAACAAGAATCAAATAGTCAAATATTATATGGTACGTATTTAAGTCATAAAATGATAATTTTTCTTTGTAAAGGGAAGACTAAATAGTTTAAAATGACTTTACCTTTCCCTTTCACAAAGAAAGTATTCTCTTTTAACTGATGTTTCGGGTATCCAACCTAACATATTTTTGGAAGCAAATGAAACCTTAAATTCAATCTTTCAATTAGAGATAATTTTTTAATACTAGTTAGTTAGTCATAAATTATTTTTTTGTTAAAAATAATATGAAATTCGTATTCATAAAGAAACAATCAAATGATTGAACCATAGACAGACATTTTTCTTTCTTTCCTTTTTTTTTTTTTTTTTTTTTTTTTAATGAATTGAACATAGACAGCATTTTTCTTTTCCCTTTCCTTTTTTTTTTTTTTTTTTTTTCTGGAACTCCACACAAGAGACTTGATTACTCATAATCATATCCAAGATATCATTTACAATTTATTAAAAAATATTACATGAAACTACTTAAAAAGAAATGCTATCTAAATCCTGAGTTTCCTACACTCTGTCCATTTTTTTTTTTTTTTTTTTTTTTTCTGGGAACTTCAACCACAGAGGACTTGATTACTCATAAATCATAATCAAGCATATCATTACAATTATTTTAAAAAAATTTAACATGAAACTACTTTAAAAAAGAAATGCATATCTAAATCCTGAGTTCCTACAACTCTGTCAACCAAGTGTACTATTAATGAAACGTTTGGTTTCTCCACAACCCATATTAGCTTGTGGAGGATCCGCAACCATTTCGGATCCTGATTCAAACAAAGCCAACATACCCAAATAAAAATGAGACTCAATATGGCAATGAAAGAGCCAAATGCCAGGATTATCAGCTCTAAACCTCAAAGCAGTCCATCCATAAGGGTAAAGCGGCACCGTATTCTTCATTATAGGATTATCCAGATTATACTTCACATCACCTGTACTATTAAACTTTCCATCCCCAAAACCCAACACCCAAAAATCATGTCCGTGAAGATGCCACGGATGTGTCTCACTACTATTTTCAGTCAAAGTATTTGCATTTTGTAGTATAATATCGACCGTTGAATTGAATTTTAGCCTATAAATTGATGAACTAGAAGTAGCATTTGGGTTCTTAGGAACACTATAAATATCATAACTTGGGTCATAATCTTCTGGAGGTTGACTTTGGTCAAAAGCATCAGTCAAGTTTCTCTTTAATGCAATTAGATATGGTGTACTAGGTAAAGAATGAGAAACATTGTTTAACGACCAACGGTAATTACCGTTGATTGTGTTTTGTGTATTCAAAAGTGTAATTACTCTATCTGTTGTATTAGGTGGTGGTTCTACATGACCTCTGAGAGCTTTAATGGCGAGGCTTTGTTTGACTTGTGAAGCGGTGTCGTTCCAGATGGGTCCAGGTGGTGGTGGTGTGGGAGGTAATTTGTGGAAATGATTTGGGTAATAGTTAAAAATGGCTAATCCATTTGGAGTGGATGGTTTTCGAGCAACCACATTAATTGTTGCCCAATAGTTCCTTGTTGGGTCTTGAGTTGCGTTGACTAAAACAGAGTATGTTTCGCCTGAGTATATGTATAAGTTTTGGGTTATAAATGAATCGACGTATGTTCCGTCAGCTTCAACCACCGTCATGTTATGGCCCTATTTAACAATTAAAAATAGTAATTTAGCCACATTTAATTACTAAGATTATAAGATTGTGAGTTCAAATTGCAATTACAGTTAAAATTTCTGTTCTATTAGCTTTCAGCTAGTAGCTTAAATTAGAAATATTCAGTAAAAAAATTGCTTAATAAGTTGTTTAACTTAAAATGGTAAAAAAAAATATTAGTTATTTAATTAGCAGAATTTGGAGAAAAAAATAGGTATAATATCAAAAAAAAAAATTTAATTAAAAGCTAAACGTTACAATTTTTAACATTTTATAAAAAGTTTTCACAACTTCTAAATATATTATCGAACTCTATAATTAATAGGGATAGAGTTTTGAATTTTGATTTAGTTAAAATGTTAAAAGCTAATTCAAAATCTGGTACATGACTTAAAGCATAACTCAGTAATAACTACGTGTGTGAAAGCTAGTATATCTAGATTCAAGTTTCCTCCCAACACTCATAAAAAAAAGAGCTAAATTAATTTTTAAAAAAATAGAATAAGTGTTTTATAATTGGATATGACAGACTGACTGAGTAAGTTTAAATTGCAAATTAACTGCTAGTTTGATCTGATTTGATAAAAAAATTGAACATAGGTGAAGTTAGAATTTAAAATCACAAAATATCGAGTTTTAAATATGAAAATTGAACATAACAAATGATTAAAATATTAAGATAAAATTTAAAAAATACTCTAGATTTAATCTCAAAATTCTTTAATAATTATAAATTTTTTGTTTAATCAGTCAAATCAGATTTTAAAAGTATGATCTAAAACTTGCATCAATAGTTCATCATTTCAAAAAATTGATTAAGCAGAAATGACATTACCTCTATTTGGAAACTGAAGGAAGACAATGAAGTCAAGCTAGCAATCCTGTAACGATATGTTTTTCCAGGGATTACAGTTAATACAGCAGGAGAACATAAAGGATTGGTTGCATTACAAATTTCAGGGCCTACACTTGAACCCAAGAGAGAACAATTGTACTTTCCTCTTCCATTGATCAAAAGTGACTGAAATATATAACAAAATCAATAAATATTATATACATTAATCTGTTATATTATATGTATGTACAGAAAATTTTCACATACCTGAGGCTCTCCAATCCACTGAAAGGGTATTGAAGATAAGTTTGTGGCTTGTTCATAAGGAGTATCGTGGTACCAATCACTGAGGATAATTTCTCGATCATAATCGTAAGGGAAAGGGAAAGGTTCTGATTGTTCTTTCGGAAGTGATACTCTGATTAATCCGTAGAGTCCTGCTTCTCTTTGCATTCCATAATGTGAATGATACATATATGTCCCTGGCTGCCATTGGTAAAATCACAAATGTCGATACATTTTATAATTAAACAGTATAAAGAATTTTCTATTCAAATTTATTGTTTATATGAATTCCAACTATTTTAATCGACATAAAAATTCTGACTCCGTTACTGATTGGACCTAATAAACATTTAGTGACATACCCTATCAACGACAAATTTGTAGGTAAAGGTATCTCCAGGCATTGTTGCACATTGAGTTACTGAATCTGTTCCATCACTCCATGGTGTTCCTATCTGCTCAGTCCAAATAAATAAACAATCACTAAACAAGGAAGGGAAAAGGAATAGTAAATATTTATAATTATATACATAAAGAAAAGTATTTACCTGGCGAATACCATGCCAATGAATGGCAACATTTTCCATTACCAAGTTGTTAATAACATTGACGATAACTGTATCTCCTTGCACTGCACTGATTGTTGGCCCTGGAGTCATTCCATTAATGGCAATAGAAAGCTTCTTATAGCAATCAAGATACTTGAACTGATATGATACTTCAAATGTAAGGTTAAGGACTCTTGCTTCCACACAAATTGGAATGTTAACTAAAGAAAACAAGAGGAATGCAGCCTGAAACATTGTTAGAATTCTTGGGATGTTTTGCAAGAGAAAGAGACAACCCATGTCTTGGATTTTTTTCAAGCTTTTCTTATGGTTTTGCTTTGTTTGCTTCATAGCTCTTATTCTTATATAATGTCACTCGGTAAAGATTAATTGCAAACGAACTGTTTTACCTTTAAAAATAAATTGCAATTATATTCATTTGATCAAAATCACATCATTATTTTTTACAATTGAGAACAAAGGAAGTTACAGTAGAATTGGGTTGGGAGATGAATGATTTAAAAAATAGATGAATATAATAAATTATAGTGTAAGAACGTTATAAATGTTAATACATTCAAATCTCTCTATGCATACATAACGGTCAAAGACAAGATCTAACTATATGTGTAAAAAATTCAAGGCAACGTGTTAATATAGATAATAGATCTACCAATGCGTATTCTTGTCGGCTAATTCTAGCAGACACTGGTCTTTCTCTTCAGTCGGAGGAGAAAACAATTTTTCTTTTGTTCTGTATTTGCGAAAATCATTATCCTTATGAATATTTGGGAATCTGTCATATTCAAAATGCAATGCACTGCCATATCCAGGCTTGGCGGGATATCACGTTAAACGTATTGTTCTAACGGAAAGATCTACACATTTTTAGTATATCAATTTCTATCAGATAAATTACAAATAATGTTTTGGTTTAAAGGTTAAGCATATTGTTCCAATTAAGATCTCATTACAGATTTATATCACATCAGAGAAGCTTTATTCTTTTTTTCCTAAATTAGGGGATGTTCCTCCACATTTTTAGTATGTCACATAAAATTTTTAATCCTCCCAACAAATAGGTTTTTGAAACTGGAACTTATATTCTAACTAATACAAGGATTGGGACCAACACAATGTTTATTGTTTTACTAATTTAATACTCAATTGGTTGCGCTAAATTCGGACCAACACATGTACATGTGTATATTGTGTTTCAATTTAATTATTCATTTTACAATGCATCGGCCATTGGAGACATCGAAATAAATTTTGAATAAAAATCCCTTTTTTTTTTCTTTGTCGAGATCCCTCTGGCTAGCATCTCACCTAATGTGAGTTTATCTAAATTGATAATACCAATGGCACGTTGATCAAACACAATTAGACATGGCCTGAATGATTTTTTTATCTCTTGTAAAAGATATAAATGGTGAGAATTCTTGAATTTGAGTCCTTTCCATAAAAATTATCACTAATTGAATGAATATATTTAAAGGGGGGACAATCAATACTGTGTAGCTTACAATATTATTCCGGTCCATTGAACCGTTCATATATTAAAAAAAAAAACAACCACTTTTATTACTCTAAAATATTTATTTAAAATGACTTTTTGATTTATAAAAAGTATTATTTTTTTTCCAAATTTTATTTTTTTCTTATTAAACACAATAATCATTTGTTACAATTTTTTCAAATTATAATTAAAAGCTAAAACGTGAAATATAAAAGTTGATGGAAGATATTACATTTTAAAGAAAAAAATTAATTTAAATTATCTGAATAAATTAATAAGAGAAACTAAGAATTTTCATCGATAGTTCATAAGGATACTAGTTATAATTAAATGTGTTTTTTAAGAAAAACACCAACTAATAAAACTATATCATTCTACACAAAAAACAATGCATGTGGAGTTTCCGTTGATTGTACGCAAGTGTGATATTTATATGAAGAAGTGGACAAATATAATAAAACAAAAATTACTAATTTATAATGCTAAGATTAATTAAAGTTGTTTAGAAACAACATGTGAAATTAAACTCTATTTATTGGTAGTTTATATTCAAATATGTTTGACAACTATGTCATTTCTATTGGACCCATACTTTTATTCTATAATTTTCTTTATTATTTGTCTCGAATTATAAGTAATTTTCCTTTTACTTATAATTAATCTATTAAGTTTTTAATATCTTCTTATATTATGTTTTATTATTATTATTATTATTAATTTTGAAGTAAATTGCTTGTAAATTACAAATTATTGAACCCAAATATCGATTTCCTTGAATTATAAGTTCCAATAAGAAATTGAGTTTTATTTCTATTCATTTTTGAAATGAATAGGATTCAAAGTGGCCGGTAGATTACTCTATTCATTTAAAAACAGTTAAAATTATTTCTATTCATTTCATCAATAAATTACTATTTTATCTCTATATTTTATCAAAATTAAATAATATATTTATGCATTTATTAACTATTTTGTCCCTATATTTTATCAAAATTAATTGATAAGTACATTTAATGAAAAGTAAAAATAATTAACATAAGGAATAACAATGTAATAAAGGCGAAATATATGAACAAAAATATATATATTCTAAAAATGCAACAATAAAATTATGTATTTTGATAAAATACAAAGATAAAAAAAAAAAAAAAAAAAAAAAATTAACATAAGGAATAAACATGTAATTAAAGGCGAAATATATGAACAAAATATAATATATTCAATTGCAACAATAATTAATGTATTTGATAAAATACAAAGGATAAAAAAAAAAAAAAAAAAAAAGTAACTTGCCATTAAAATTGAAATTAGTAAATGAAGCAATAAAAAAAAAAAAAAAAAAAAAAAAGTAAAACTTCCATTAATTGATTAGTAAATTGAAGCAATGATTAGAAGATATTGGAATTTTGATTGATTTTGTGTTCCAATTACAAGACAACAAGAATCAAATTGTATTAGTGTTTTCAATTGGAATGATTTATTATTTTTATGTATTTAATCTCTTTACCATTGCACTCAATTACTTAGATTGTACTCAGAGACAAAATCAACCTTATTTGTATACTCGATTTAAGAAAAATTTGATGGTAATTGATTAGACCAATGATATTAAAATAAAATATATGTTAATATGGAGAAGTGACAAACACCAAATATGTTATCTCTGGTCCAAGAGAAAGATAAATCTATATATATTAATATCTAAAATCCATTTGTAGGGATAGAATAATCAAAACAGAAGTCTCTAAGAATAACAAAAATAGAATAGGATAAAAAGGACATAGTTTAAATGGAGACTTAAACTTATATTGAGTCATTTCTATATAAATAAAAAATAAATAAACTAATTATCATAGATTTTAAACTAATAATACTAAATGTTAAATGTTAAGGTAACTTATTTATTAAAAATATTAGATTAATTTAATTTACATTGTGAAAATAGTGGAGAATTAAGTACGTGACTATATGAGTGTTAGAAAGATATTAAAATGATGAAATTTAGAAAAATACAATCAGAATTGCAATGATAAATGATTAGAAATGAACAGGGGCAAAATAGTAAAACAAAAGCTAAAACGCTATTCAAATGAATAATAACTTCTATTATATGACAAAGGGCAAAATGGAGAAAATATGGAAAAGATGTGGTTTAATTGGAAAAAAAAATACTATTTAGTAAATATGACAAAGGACAAAATGGAAATAGTATGAAAAATGATATGGTTTTTGTGGAAACACATTGTTCTATGAATAGTGTTTTTGAATTTTGTTTTAGTATTTATATAAAGTTTATTTATAATACAACCAAAACCTATTTACAAGCTAATTTATAATTTAAAATACATATATGAAGCTAAAAGAAATCAAATACAAACTATTTTGAATACAAAAGAAATTCTAATTCAAATTATTTTAAATATGAGCACAATCTAAATAAATCAATGTATTTATCTACAGTGAAATAGATTGAAAATACACCTGCGATGGTCCTCTTTTATGCCAAAGCTGGATACTGGGCCCCAGCAATTCTGAACCAAACCCATGACACTCGGCCCCTTTTATTATCTCTCCATGAAGAATGGGCCGAAATAACTTTGGGCCTTCAAGGCCTTTTTCGCATTCGGGCCTAATGTTGGTCGGCGTGAACAGTTATATAAACAAGTTAAGTAATAGTAATATTGAAATTAAATAAAAATCTTTTTGAATCACAAATTATAATAATGAAATCATGAAACATCCACAAACCAAGGCATAATCTAGTGTTGAGTGGATATACGATCTGACAATAGATGTAAGTTCGAATCTCTCTCTTCAATATTAAAAAAAAAAAATCATGAAATACCCTCATAATCTAAAGATAATTGTTTAAAATATAAATTAACCAAGCTTTAAATAGAAGCTTTTTTTTTTTTTTAAATAATACTGCGGTTATATATTCTTAGGAATTAAGTTAGTAGTAAAGTTTGTGGCATGTGGAATGGTTTAGCCCTAAAAAAACAGGCAAACTAATTATCTAATCACATAAATCTTATAATTGATCCAATGGTAGGCTGTAAGAGTTCACAATAAATGTTGTGCAGACACGCCACACCAAATCCGTGCCACCGAAGTATCACTTGCAAGTTGCACCTAAAGCCCATTCCAAAAATAAAACTTTCCTCAAACTATCCACAGTTACACCAGCGACGCACATTATCCTTCCACCACTGACCATGGACGCTGATACAACAGATACGCAACCGGAACCCGTATCGCTTTCCTCCGATCCGCTGTCAAACCAATTCGGTTCCCTCAATGACTTAGCCCACGAGCTCGCATCTCTCCAGGACCTTGCCAACCGCGGCAGCTGGCGCTCGATCCTCGACAAGGTCGCTCGTGCTCGCTCTCTGGCTCTCCTCACCACTCCTCACGATCACCTCACTTACCTGGCCTACAACGTCCTCGCTTTCGTAAAACTACGCCGCTTCAAAGACGCTCTCACGGAACTTGATTCCGTCGACGATTTCGATAGCCACCATTACCGTTACGAAACTTATCCAAAAATCTACCCTCATCGGCACGGTTCTATGGTTCCTTTCTCTCTCCGATGGCTCCACGCTGTGATCCCCTTAAAATTAGGTAATCGTCAAGAAGGATTAGATCGGTTTTATATTTTGCTCGATTTTGTTCGCGGAAAACTGAAGGAAAAACAAGGTTTTGATTTTTCAAGTAAAATTTGGAGAAATAGAGAGGTTTTTGTTATGAATTGGATAATTAGTGAGCATTTGAAGAATAAAGAGTTCACTATCTGTTTGGATTTGATTAAAGATTTGGTTTCCCGTGGTAACTTTGATCCAGTTTTGTTGTCAAAATTAGGTTGTATACAGATGCAAATTGGGGATTTAGAAGGAGCAAAGGGTTCATTCGAGAAGGTAGAGAAATTGTTGGAGGAGAGAATTGCTGGTGGTAGTGATGAGTCCTTGAGCGAGGTTGAGTTCAGGAATCTTGTGAATAGGAATAAGGCATTGGTGTATTTGGTTGGGAAAGATTATGTGTCGGCAGTGAGGGAGTATGAGGAGTGCATTGACAGAGATCCTATGGATGTTGTGGCCATCAATAACAAAGCACTCTGCTTGATGTACTTGAGGGATTTGTCGGATTCCATTAAGGTTTTGGAGAACTCTCTTGAGAGAGTTCCTACAGTAGCATTGAATGAGACACTTGTAGTGAATTTGTGTAGTATGTATGAGTTGGCTTATGTTAATCATTCTGACATTAAGCGGACTCTAAGCAATTGGATTGCTCGAGTTGCTCCTGATGATTTTGATTCGTCTTCTACGAGGATTTAAGGTAGTGTTCCTCAGTTTCATTGTTTGGGATAATTTAACTGCATGTTTTTGACTTGCATTGTCGAATGTCTTTGGTTAGATATAATATTTAGTTTCAGAATTGTTTTGTTCTTTGATAGTGTATATTAATTCCAACGTGTATGAAATGATCACAGATTTTACTTGATATGAATCTTTCAGTGCTTACTTAATACTCTTATTCTCATTTTAATATTGTAGCTGAACTGCTGAAGTTATTTAGCGAATTGGATATTCATTAATAGAGTTTATAGTTTTTGACCTACTTGTAACTCCGCTGCTTGTGAATGGTGAGTAATCCTGGAAATGGAGTGTGGGCGATTCGTATCTCAGCCTATTTTCGAAAATTAAATGATATTTATTTGTTCAAGCATTTGTTTACTTGAATTTCAATTTTGTATGGTTTTTCATTCTCTTGCATTATAATAATTGAGTCAAGCTTGCTTTATCTGTGTCAAATTGTTGATCATGCCACAATATTGCACAAGCACATAAAGATTAATAAGATGGTAGCCATTTAGAAACAAGCTGCCATTATTACCATATATCTTATCATGCAATTTGAAATGCTTTTTGTATGTCATCAGACAAATAGTTGTTTAGAAGTTTTTGCTAAATGTGGCTTTATATTCAAATCCACTAAACTAGGCTGATTGTAGCCTAAACCTATGATTTTGCTTATATTATATTGGGCATAATTGTCAAATCGAGAATCGAATTGAGAATTTGAAATCCCTATTTTTTGAATCGAGAATCGAATCGTATCATAAGATTCGATTGTTCAATTAAAAATTATTAATTTTTTTCAACAAATATTAAAAATCCAAATGCAAATCATAAAATAGAATTGAATTGAATGACATATAATATGTCAGTACCTGATTGTAATTGCAGAGAATATAATAGTAATTGTGTGAATTAGTTTGGGCTTTAATTATAAATATTTTGTTTCCTTGTGACATGACAGTGATTAAAGTGCACTACAAAGTGATTAAAGTGCACTACAAATAGTCTACTATGCATATATGGAAAAATTAGTCATTTCTCCTCTAGTAATATCTGTTCAAATTCTCTCTGTTTAATTATCCTTATGGCTTTGTTTTCTTTCTCTTTCTCCTCCTCTCTTCATATATGTTCTCTCTTCTATTTTCTACTTGTTTCTTAGTAAACAAACATAGATTAGACAATGCATGGAGCAGTTTTCTCTTTTATTTTACTTTTTTCCAACTGATTTCCTAATCGTGTGAATCGACCGATTCATTGCGATTCGTCAATTCGCCACTTATTCGATCGATTCATCACCGATTCAGGCTTCTTTCCGATTCTACACTAAGATTCGTATCGTTTTCCATTAGATTCAATACGAATCGTACGATTCGAACAACACTGATATTGGGGATTACTTATTGCAATGCAAAGCTTTCACCAGAACACATTTGACTCCTCCAGTGTTACTCGTATACTTTCAGGTGGACATGCATTTCTTTCAGTTGCCATAGATCTAACGGAAGCCGTGGTGAACTTTCAATTGTAGAAATCGTAGAACTTAATATAATGCATTGTCGTTGTACCTAAGTTCTGTGATTGTGATCCTGGAACCTTCTTATGTAGCTGTCATGGTCCTTCGTCAAACCTTTGGAGGCATGAACATCTGATCCATCTAGTATGTTGGGTCAAAGTAAGCATACAAATGAGAATAACATTTAAAATGAATCATTGATATGACATTGTATGATTTTTGAGCATCTTCTTTATGATTTTTACATGTAGCAAATATGATTGCTACGGAGATGGTCTGCATTTTCTATTCATTAGCAAGTAGGCTTATCTTTATAAGAGTAAATTACCATTACCCATTGAGGTTTTACTTAATGTATTATTATACCCTGCTTTTCCAAAAGCATATTATTTAATCTCGTAGGTTTCAAAAATATCAACTATGCGGTCTTTCTGTTTAAATTAGGTGATTATGGTTGTTGAATATAGAAAAAAAAATGTCAGGAATACTCTGCCATATTAGCAAAACTTTGTGTATAAGGGTATTTTGACATTTCTCGTGATTAACTGTCAAACTTAAAAGGGTAACAATAGTTTATCCTAAAATATCATTCTTATGGTAATGAAGTTATTTGAAAATTGGTTGGATGTCATAGTTAGATTTTGGTTTCAGATTGAGCAATTTGCTTAAAAGTAAGATTTATGTTATTACAAAGAGAATCTTAGAAGAATCCTAACCCAACTCCCAAAACCACTTCTTTACAAGTTCTTATGTAAAACTGAAACTGTACTAATGACTATATCAAATTTATTGGGCCCTCTCTTTGCAATAGCAGTTTTATTTATGACTTTGTTCAGAAATTAAAATGATGTTTGCATTTAAAAGCTAATTACATGATTCCTTATTTTCTCAATTTCATGGTGTGATCAACTCCTTAAGCTTATCAACTATGAACTTTAATAAAAGGTTGTAAATAAATACTCCACTAGATGATTATTAGTTGTCTGTATCTAATCTAAAGATTAGGTGGTTGCTTAAAAATATGGAGTTTGATGTTTGGATTGGTGAAATTTGAATGATGAAATTTATACATTCTATGCGTTTGTTATATTTTCTCGTTTGATAGAGAAAAAATAAATCAAAATTTTTATAATTAATAAATTTTATTATTTTATTAGAGACAAATTCCACCCGTGGAATTTTCGCAATTCCATTATTTTTTATCAATAATGTAATTTAAATCATTTAATTGTAAAAAGATCTTTTAAATTCATGGATTATGTTTTTCAATAATATCGATCCAAATGATCTTGGAGGACTATTTAGTCTTCGGGCAATCTATATCCATTCGGAGTGCTGTGTCAAGACTGATACTTACAAGTAAGTTACGATAGCGATGCTCACACAACTGCCACGCAAGGTAGGTGGCTGAAGTAAAGTCGAGATCATTAAATTGTAACATTGGCTCTTGTCAAAATCAACGGTCTTACTTTCACCTTATTTTCCAACTAAGAAATCAATCACAAGTTCACAAACCATCCAATTTTCTCTTGGATGTACGAGTGTATGTAACACATGAACACAATCATGTGAATCATTTATACATTCAATAAAAAAATATACTTTTGGAAGACGGAAAATATATATATTTTTAATTATTCAACTGAAATTAAACCATTATTTATTCATAAAAATCTTTAATTGGAAGATATAAAATAGGTTTGAAAACAATTTACAAATAATTTTTAGCATTTTAATGGGTTAATTAGCTATATATTATTTTTTATAATATTTTGTAACATTCTCTGAAACAAATGATTTGGTGGGTGTAACCGCACAACCAAGATGGACGGCCCAGATTCATCACCTGGTATGAACCTCGACCTCACCTACTTTCACTCTTCCATTTCCCACCAACCCCACTGAAACATCTCCCCTTTAAAATTATTCCTTTACTTGACTAATGCAAAAAGATTCAAAACTTGAAATTCCATGGTGTCACCAAACGAGCAAAAACTCTCTAAAAAGCCTTGATCCACCTAACCAACTAAAATAAACAACCGCACGCCACAAACTGACACATTTACCTGCCTTTCATGGCTGCTGCTGCTGCTTCTTCTCTCCAAAGCTCGACATCGAACATTTGTCGTCCGGGTTTTGGCCAACAATGTGTTGGACTCGATTTGGGTTCTTGTAATTCTGGATCCGTTTCCTTCCCTTCCCGCCTTTACAAGCTCCAACTCAAGTAAGACAGGTTCTTTGCATTCTCCATTTTCAGTTTATTCTTCGTTTGTTTCTAATTAGGCCTTTGGCGTTAGACAATTGGTCTTTTGATTTTTTTTTTTTTTTTTTTTTTCTGGATCCGTTTCCCTTTTCCCTTCCCGCCTTTAACAAGCTCCAACTCAGTAAAGACAGGTTCTTTGCATTCCTCCATTTTCAAGTTTTATTCTTCGTTTGTTTCTAATTAGCCTTTGGCGTTAGACCAATTGGGTCTTTTGATTTTTTTTTTTTTTTTTTTTTTATGCTTCGTTTGAATGGGTTCTAAGACAGAATTTTTGATAGATTTTCTAATGAAATTTGGTAGTGACTTTTTTTTTTTTTTTTTTTTTTATGCTTCGTTTGAAATGGGTTCTAGACAGAATTTTGATAGATTTTCTAATGAAAATTTGGTAGTGACTTGTTTTGGTGTTATGTTTTGATGGGAGAATTCTAATTGTAATGAAATTGATTATAAAGTTAACTTGTTCTACTTGCTTGGTTGTTAGATCCAAATAACTAAAAAATTGCTTGTTTTGTTTCATGTTTCAATCTTTCATGCCAATCATGTAATAGTATGATTATTGGCACTCAATTAGGAAAGTCTCCAAGTTTCAATTCTAATAATGATTAAGATAACAAAAGAGAAAGTATTAATAATCAATGCGGTAAATGCTACCTGACTACTATTGATTTATCACATTGCAGTTTTTGTTTGTTTCACATTGTTGAACTTGGGAACGCATGTTTCTTTAATTAATCGCATGTTCTACTTTATAGACCTTTAGAGGCCACTAGACAGGTATGGTCGTCTAGAATAAGTGCAGTGACAAAGCCTGAAAGTGGTATTGAAGAGATGGAACTTGATATTTCATTGAGCCCCAGAGTGAATTCTATGAAACCTTCAAAGACTGTAGCAATAATGGACCATGCCACTGCACTTGTAGAAGCTGGAGTTCCTGTTATTCGATTGGCTGCTGGAGAACCTGATTTTGATACACCAGCTATAATAGCAGAGGTACCTCTTTTTGTTTATTGACTATGCAATTTTCATTTGCATTTTTGTCTCAGTTCTGTAGTTTAAAGTGGATATGTGCTTATTTATGGGCATAATTTTTTTCTCTTTTGGGTTGTGGAAAAGTTAGGCTGGGATAAATGCAATCCGTGAAGGTTACACTAGGTATACTCCAAATGCTGGTACATTAGAAGTTCGAACAGCAATTTGTCATAAACTGAAGGGTCAGTTTATATTTGCAGCATTTTTGCATTATTGAACTATTTAATGTGCCTGTTACATTATTGAAATTGTAGTCATACATTTTTTTATTTTATTTTGTTTATTTACTTTTGTCAGAGGAGAATGGTCTTTCTTATGCACCTAATGAGATTTTGGTTAGTAATGGAGCCAAGCAGAGTATCACTCAAGCAGTTCTTGCAGTTTGCTCTCCAGGAGATGAGGTGAATTTTTGAAATTTTTTACATCAGTATAATCAGTATCATGTGCTTTTCTGTTGTTAAATTGATTGACAGTGGAATATTCCCTCCTATCATTTGATTGTTGAGAAATGAGTACTTCTTATGTAACTTTGGATCAAGTTAAGATCTCCTAAAATCCTGGTTCTATGCATTTCATGAAGTTTCAAATTAGTATGTGTTATTGAATCAAGAGCCATTTACTCATTTCATCTGTATGTGAATGTTTGGCTGCAAAAATTAAAAGTATTATGGTGGTTAGCATGATTCACCTTTTTTTCTTTTTTCTGCTTGCCACACAAATATCCCTTCTCAGTTTAGTAAGAGAAATTATCTTATACAAGCATGTCTATATATTCATTTTCCAAAACATCAACATAAATACGTCATCTCCCTTAGTGAAATAGAGCAGGGTTCCTAATAACTGAAGTTCTTTATTGTGAAAGTAGCTTACATTGGCCAAGTAAATTGTTGCTTTCAGGTTATTATTCCAGCACCCTTCTGGGTCAGTTACCCAGAAATTGCAAGACTTGCTGATGCCACACCCGTGATTCTGCCAACATCTATCTCTGAAAATTTTCTTTTGGATCCAAAGCTACTTGAATCCAAAATCACTGAAAAATCAAGACTGCTAATTATTTGCTCTCCATCTAACCCAACTGGATCTGTTTATCCTAAAGAATTGCTTGAAGAGATTGCTCGGATTGTGTCAAAACATCCCAGGCTTCTGGTAAGTTTACTGAACCTGAACTGCTACTCCTTTGCTTTGTTGTGTGCAGGTGCTGAATTTCCTTGGTACCACATGCAGGTCCTATCTGATGAAATATATGAACACATAATATATGCACCGGCTACACATACAAGTTTTGCATCTTTGCCAGGAATGTGGGGAAGGACTTTGACTGTGAATGGCTTTTCTAAGGTAATTCAAGATGATTGCATTTGATGATTGGTCCTCCAAATATGACTGATATTGTCTTCTTCCCATCAATAACAAAAAGATGTTTGTGTATAAAATATTTGTATAAATGTGAACAGTAACCAAAGTGCTAAACTTAGATTGAGGATTGATATTTCGAAGTTGGAGAATTTGTAGGCTTTTGCAATGACTGGTTGGAGACTTGGATATCTTGCTGGCCCTAAGCACTTTGTTGCAGCATGTAATAAGATCCAAAGCCAGGTATAGCATCATATAGCTATCTGTAGGTCTTCATTCTGTTGTATGAGTTATGTCTGCCAAGTACTATTTAATTTTTATTCTTCTTTTTAACATCACTTTACATGTATTGCTTGGATGTTATATTCCAGCACTTTATCTAATTCTTTTAATCTGATTGAATGCTTATCCACTGGGTTTTCAAATTTATTGGCATTGCTCAAATTTATGCTCTTAAGCTTCCAACAATATGATAGTCAACTTAACTAGACCTTTATCCCAAAGTAGTTGGGGTTGACTATTTTCCTTAATTCCTTCAAAGATCTAAGGCTACTATGCCCTTTCTCTGCACTTCTCTCTATGTTGTTTTGGGTTTACTCTTGCTTTTATTATCTCTTACAACTTCAGTGTAATAGATGAAATAATTCTAGTACTGCGAATTGAAAAATAGTCCTTGGCAAAGTAGAAGAAGACAATTTGAATATCAGTCACATAGATGTGGTCAGAATCAAGAGTATGTATATATTATCTTTAATTTTATCAATATCACACCTGAATAACATATACCTGTGAGTTTTTCTAGTGTTGGATATTCTTGGCAGGTTATGTAAGAGGCTGAAGATAATATTTTCTAATTGTTATAAATGTCCATTTATGGTCTAGAAATTGGTATATTGCATTGTTATATTTATTTTTCTCTCAATAATTAGAGATATTTCTATTGGTAGAACATGGCATCTAAGAGAACCCAATGATAATCCCATTGATTAGTATTTTTTGGACTAATTGAAGAAAGTAGATTCATAATGCTGAAAGGACTTTGTGTAAGCTAAAGGCACCAGGAATCTGATGGAAGGTTAATTTAGATTTAAAAAATAAATTTTGTTATATTATTAAAGTATACAGGATACAAAATGGTGCTAGGTATTGGTTACCAAACCTTAATTTGAAGATGTTGGATTATTGTTATATTAAATCTTTTAAAAGCATGTGTAATACATACTAAAGTGCTTGTTAGCAACCAAAGATCTCTCAAAGATTGGAGATCCACCAGTCACATTTACACTGAATTGCCTAGAAGGCTAGTTATGAATCAACAATTCACATTTCTTGTGTTTGGCTTATCTAGCCAATTTTGATCCAGTACAAGAATATAAACAAGTTTGGATTGGTTGATTTATGTTAAGTTCAATTAGATGCATGCTAGACAAGATCGTGGATCAAATTGCTATATCAAATATTGAATTTATCTGAAATATTGAAATTGGGATAGGTTTGGCACCAGATCAAGAAATATTGGTTGACTTCTGTATCTAATGAAATACAAAAACCAATTTGGCAGTCGTACATGGTCTTGGTGGCCTTGTTGGACTTGGTGAGTCCTGATAGAACTTGAGGGATTTGAGAGGGGGAGATTTATAGTATCCCAATAGTATATAATTGGAAATGTGTGCTTGAGGTGGATGCGTAAAAGGTTGTGCATCAAGCATTGAGCTGGTGGAATTGGACCATATGTACAGTTGTGCAGAACTTCAAATGGCATTCTTGATTTCTCATTTTCCTCTTAAGAGTATATAATAATGTTTTAATCTGTAGGTCATGATTTGCATACTCTTAATATGCCCATTCATTATGCATATGATCTAAACCATGCTCTTCGTAACATTAGCTGATCTCAATGATTCCATTTGCTAGTTCACTTCAGGTGCCAGCAGTATAGCTCAAAAAGCAGCAGTGGCTGCATTGGGACTAGGATATGCTGGTGGGGAAGTGGTATCTACCATGGTGAAAGCCTTCAAGGAAAGGAGAGATTTCTTGATCACAAGTTTTGGAGAAATGGAAGGTGTTAAGATGTCAAAACCTCAGGTTCCAGCTCTTACTAAGAACCTCCTTGTGCCTTGTTTATATTTATTCCATCTTTTAATTCTAATAATTTAATTTCTGCCGTCAGGGTGCATTTTATCTCTTCATTGATTTGAGCTCTTACTATGGAGTAGAAGCTGAAGGATTTGGTAAAATTGAGGATTCTGACTCACTCTGCAGATACCTGCTAGATAAGGCACAGGTACGTATTTGCAAATTTTTCCTCTAACTATGATTAAGCTTAGTTGTTTGCTTTGTTTGTTGTTTTATTTTTTTATTTTTTTATTTTTTTGTAACTGTGATTAAGAAAATTTTCATTTCATGGCTCTCATCAATTATCAGAAGCTGGATATTATGATGACATAGTACTTTGACTTGGATAAGACCCCATTTTTAGAAACTTTGCATAAAGCAGTTTAGTAATTACTTAATATCTTCGTAACAGTGTTATGGGTATCGATTTGCAGGTTGCAGTAGTCCCAGGGGGTGCCTTCGGAGATGACAGCTGCATACGCATCTCTTATGCAGCATCTCTCACCACCCTACAAGCAGCTGTAGAGAGAATCAAGAAAGCACTTATCCTGCTCAAGCCTGCTATTCCCGTTTGAGGTAGATGATAATACATTTCGACTGTTGTACTATTTGTTATTAATAATGATAAACATAATATCACACTTTGCAGTGAACAGTAGTCAGTATTAATTTGAAATGGAAGAATTTTAAATATTCTATCTGCAAGCATTTGCAGCGTCGTATCAAACTGTTGTAAATACAAGTTCTGATGTCTGAAACTTGTGTTCCAGATTATTTTGTTTCATCTTGTTGCTACTAGTTATTACCATCAGTCAAGTTGATTAGGTCAAAGAAATCTGACTTTGCAGAATGTGTTTCTTTATCTGTAACCTTGGAAATAATATTTTGAATCAAAATAATGTTGGAAATTAGGCAACTGAATTGAACATGTGGATTTGACACATTCTCAAACCTAAATCATAAAACTTCGGATATGGTCTGATACAATGTTGGGTTGGGTTTTTAAGTTCCTAATATAGATTAATGATATTATCACTTTACTCTTTCTGAGCTGTATAGATAAACTATGATGGATTTTCATGGGGAGTTTTTTCCAAGTTATTTCAATACCTGAGGCTACTTTTGATTAGCTTTATATTTAATGGAAATAGGCTAGGAAAACCTCCGTTCCAGTTATTAAAAAAAAAAAAAAAAAAAAACCAAGTTATTTCATATACCTGACGCCTACTTTGATTAGCCTTATATTTAATGGAAATAGTGCTAGGAACACCTCCGTTCCAGTTTTATTAAAAAAAAAAAAAAAAAAAAAGTTCTTGTAATTTAACTAATTAAAGTAAAAAATGCACTTAAAAAGAAAATGAAAACTTGAGTAAATTGAATTTGTAAGTAATTAAAACTATGAGAAATTCTTAAAATTAATTAGAAAAACACTATAATGATTTGGGTCGCGTGGGTTAAATTGTTTTTTAAATTTATAAAACCAAACCTGAATTTAAGATTTGGTTGTCAGATTTAACAACCGGCACCCAACAAGAAGCACAAAAAGATTCATTACTTTCGGTTCGATTTCACTGGGTTTAACTTATTACATTATATCAATGTTTTGCCCACTGTCAATTTGCTTGTCTCAAGATGCTCATTCAATGAAGAAAAGGGATTCCAAATCCTGTAATAAACAAAGCAGCCTATAAAGTCTAATATTTCAGAATTGCCATTTCCCTTGTGCACGGCAAAGGGAAGAAGATGATTTAGGATGAGAAATAATCCAAGTTATGCAAAAGATATTAAGGAATTGAAGAATCAATTCCTTTTTCCCACAAATATGGCAACATGTTCAATGTTGCCTGGTCTTAAATTTGAAGAAAGCTGTGAACTTTTTTCGACAAGTAATTTCAGAAAAAGCTATTCTTAACTTTTTGTACAACATAATATTCCTATTCAACTGGACTTGCTAATCCCCAAGGAGAAGCTAATCAAAAGCTAAAATAAAAACCCATGGAAACCCTAATTGAGCTCTTGACTTTAACTACAAGTCAATCAAACTCAAATAGAAAGAATTCTCTTCCTTCTTTATAATGATGACGGCCAGAATGATCAGAAAACAAAACCCAGAAACCAAAATTAGAAGAAAACCCATAAAAAAAATATCTAATGTACACTTCTGCAACAGAAATTGTATTTTTTGACTTAGAAACAACAGTACCCAATAGAATTGGACAAAAATTCTGGGTATTGGAATTTGGTGCAATTATAGTATGTCCAAGAAAACTTGTTGAATTAGAAAGTTTTAGTACCCTAATTAGGCCTAAAGATTTATCTGTTGTTGCATTGAAGTCTAGTAGAAGCGATGGGATAACTAGAGAAGCTGTGGCTAATGCACCTATTTTGAAGAAGTTGCAGATAAGATATTCAGTATTTTGAATGGGAGAATATGGGCAGGGCACAATATTCAAAGATTTGATTGTATACGAATTAAGGAAGCATTTGCAGATATTGGTATGGCTGCACCTGTTCCTGTTGGTATGATTGATTCTTTAGGGGTTCTGGGTGACAAGTTTGGTAGAAGAGCTGGTAATTTAAAGGTATGTTTACAATTTTGTGATCTTTCGTATCTAATATTTCAGTTGTTAGCATTTCTTCTTCTTGTTTTTTTTTTTCTTCTTGTGGTTTTTGTTTTCCAATTTTTATTTGATGTTTATATAAAAAAATAGTTGCCGCAACATGTAAAAAACGAAAAATTATATATATATAACAGATTTCCAATCCACTTCTTGAGGTATTTAGAAAATAATAATAATAATAATAAACCAAAAACAGAAATTAAAATGATAAAGTCAGAATAATAATAATAATAATAAACCAAAAACAGAAATTAAAATGATAAAGTCAGGATTTTCTCAATCTCCTGACTTATTTATTCATTTTTGCAGATGGCAACTTTGGCTACATACTTTGGACTCGGGCAGCAAAAGCATAGGTATTTCCAGAATCAAATATGTAGTTTTCAATTTGATACATACGAAATTTTTAAAGAAAAAAGATTATAACGATTTGAGTGAACCGTACATTTTCTATTACGAGATAGATACTTAGATTATTCATGTGTAATTTTAACACAATAACTTAACTATTTGAATAATGTATATGATTTCTGTTTTCTATTGTAAGAAACTGATGATGACAATCACATGTATAAAAAACAGGAGTCTTGATGATGTTCGCATGAATTTAGAGGTCCTAAAGCACTGTGCTACTGTTTTATTTTTGGTAATCTCTTTTTTATGTTTTGGTAATCTCGAAACTTCTCAATCTTTTAATTGTTCTACATGTGGTTACATTTCAAAATTCTAATCTCTTGCCCTAAAAAGCAAGAATCTAGGAACATTCTACTACAATATTTATTAGTCCATAACTTTCACTATTAATCTTTAATAAATAATTAAATCTATTACTAATATGTATTGAAATGAAGGAAATCGAGCCTTTCCAACAACTATGTGAATAATAAAATATGGGTCAAAGCTCTTCCCACAATTAGGACTCGTAGCAGAATGCAAGGGAAATTGCAGTTGTGGAGAAGAAAGCAGCCGTCAAGTTCTCTCCTCCATCTATTGGCACCAAAGAACGTTCCTTATACAAGAGGAAGTCTAGGAAAGGTGACTAGAAGGGGGTAATAAGAATTTGTTTTGCAAGGCTCAAAGAGACAAATCATTAACAAGTTAATTAAGCACTCTCATTCTTTGCTTAGATGATCATAATTTAGGAACAGTTTTTTTAAATTTGTAATTGGCAACAAAGGAATCTTGCTAAGGTGGGTTCTAACTCAATTTAATAAGAACATGATAATCTATAATCCTGATATGTAGCTTGGAAAACGTATGAAGAGGTTATTCCATAGGAACCTAGACGAACAATTGTTTTTATTTATTTTCCAACTAATTTGCATGATTAATTCTTTTTAATTGTTCTAAGATTTCTTTTCTTTACCAGTAATGAGAGACGGTATTTTTTTTTTTTTTTTTGGGTTTAAAAATAGTAAGAAATAATATATTTTTCTCTCTACATTAATTGAGATTTATTACTAAATTCTTACATTAATTCAAAAAGGATGCACCAATGAGTTTTAATAAAGAATTTCGCTTAGTTTCCAAAATACCTATAAGTAATCAACTCTTAATCTTTTTTTAAGAATTGGAAAATTTAATTAAATAAATAAATAATTAGCAGAAAAAACTTCTAAACTAGGATTAATTCAATTTCAAAAAAATTTTTTTTAGAAGAATTCCATTTCAAAATTAGATTAAACATAAACATACAAAAACAAAATAATTGACTCGCGGGACATAAATTTTAAGGACCACTGCATAAAAATCTCAAGCATTAATAAGTGATCTGCACATAACCACACAAAGACGTGAAGTATTAATGTCATAATGATTGAATCAAACCACTGACTAGGAACGGAGCGATTATATAAGAACATGCATTAAAGTTGTCCTTGTCCATAATTATTGATTCTTACTACCATAATGCATAAATTTATATAGAAATATTTTTATGGGAATTTAATAATTTTCCAATTTTATGTGTTGAACACTTTAATTTATAAAATTATTTTATTTAAATATTTAAATTTTTTTACGTTAACAATTTGTATATTAAATCGATTAAAATAGTGAAAATAATTAAAAAATATGAAAATTAATTATTTCAAAAATTAAAATGACAATTATATATAAATTAAATATTTTGGTGTATAAAATTAAAATTACTAAAAGATTAATGTAATGCTAGTATGGAAAGAACGTGTAATATTAAACAGCAATGCTGTACTCTATGTTAAAAATCTATCCATGGCAACTTTTTAATTTTTTTTTAATATTAAACCTATAAACACTTTAATTTGTAAAATTCATAATTTAATGGGTATATATAATAGATTTCTTGTAAATTATTAAAGAGTGTTATATGGATAAAGCATTAATAATTAAAGGGACAAATTTTATAGCATTTAAGCCAAATAGATAACTCAAACTGGTTGGTGAATCAATATATATATATAATAGCTAAGCATTTTTTTCCTAAATTAACATGTGTATATCCACTTGGCATTTTAATATTTAATCATGTGATCATATTCCTCCAATTTATGGCTTCCACTTCTAGCATGGTTTGGATTTGATTTATTTATATTTATTAATGTATTTAGCTTTGGTTGTGATTTATCTTGAATTATTGTTTTTAGTTGGTTTGATTTGATATTCAATGTATTAATATATTAGTTTAGTTTAGATTTATTTTGAGTTAGTGCTTTTTTGATTTGATTATTTAATGTAACTAATCATATTGGTTATGGGTTTGAATTTTATTTTGATTAGTGTTTTTGGTTTGGTTTGATTTGATTATTTAATGTATTATGACTTTAAGTAATTATTATTTATTATGTTTTTAAAAAATGATAAAGTTAATAACAATGAATTATTCGATTAATGTATTAAATAATTGCTTTTTAATAAATGTTTACTCTCAAATTTGTAAGTAACAAACGTTACTCTACAACAACAGTTAATCCTTTTTTAATGTTTCCTATCTAAATGTTCCGTTTTTTTAAATTGGCAAGTAATGCAATTTTTTTTTTTAATTTTAAATTGTTTTACTCTTAAAAAACACTTTATCTTTTTTTCAGAAAATACTGTATAATAAGTTGTATCGCTTCTATTCTTCTCTATATCTGGGCAATGTTATTGGTATCTCCTTGCTTTAAATATATTACTTGTTTTTTAGTTCATAAAATTTATAATTACTTTTCCACTAATGGAGCATAGTTTATCAAACTTTTTTTTTGTCCCTTTTTTTTTAAAGATTATTTAAGCATGTTTTTGTATTAGCCGTAAAATCAAATCAATTATAT